CGTCTAGGTTCCTGACGAAGGATTCCGTGGCTTAGGTCTTTACAAATGTAATTGTTGAAGGATTATGGCTGTAATTAACGAACCCACAAAACTTGCCTATCGCACACCAGAGCAAAGTGGCCCTATGCAGTCCTAATTTGTTAAATACATATTTGCCTGCTTTCTTTACTGTCTTAGATCATAGACTGTTGTATTGGTTACCATGAGCATGTGAAATGGATCAAAGCAGATCTTCCTTGCCTATTTAAAAAGTGGCACTGTCTGTTGTTAACCTTTAGGGGAAAGGACAAGGTGCCCTTCGTTCCTCCAGAGCAATTATGGATGAACAAATGTCATTTGGCTGTGGAGAGATCATTTCATGGTAAATGTCTGAGGATTGCTCATTTCCAGATGCCAGTCATAATTACAGATTGAGCTTGTTGGGATACCACACATAGCTTGTTCATGTGATTGAAACCAGCATGACCTACTTGGCTTTGTTCAGATAATAGTTGATGTTTGAATCTTACAGGAGTGTCATGCTCTTTCAACACAGAGAGGTATCTGCCACTGTAAAATCAAGAATTTTACCAGTTTTTCAAAAGTGTAGAAATCATTGTACTGTAATTCTTCTGTTTTGGATGAAGTCTCTATCAGGATCCAGTCAGGTTTAGTGTTGTGAAAGTTTATTCTTCTCACTCTTTGAAACTTTGCTGTCTTTTATTGTAGGTTCTATAATGGTTCATTGTAATCTTCTATATGTTAGCAATGACTTTCATTTTCTTTTTTGAGGGATATAAATCCGGTGACAGAAAAACAATAGGTTTACTTTGAGAACACTTAATGCACTTCCCCACTCCCTGTCCATCCCAGCACCTATCTCCTCCTACAAATGCACAGACAGAGTAGTGGACTTAATTTATTAACCTTTTTGTCCATCCTCAGTTATTTTTCCCCAAATGGTCAGCCTTGCTTCGTCATCCGCTTGGGACCAATGCTATCTTCATGTTTCTACAATGTGTTTTCATGTTCAGGTTGTCTCCCAACACCATGGTGACACCCCACAAGAAAAGCATGCTGGGAAACGGGAACTATGATGTGAACGTCATCATGGCAGCTCTTCAGACCAAAGGTTATGAAGCAGTTTGGTGGGATAAGCGCAGGTAAAGAGAACCAGACTGTCAAGAGAGACTTGCCATCATTGGAACTGGCTTCTTCCTAGTTGGGTTTATAAATAACTGTAAGAGCTTAACAGTTTCTTTCTTCTATTATTCTCCGTTCAGGGATGTCAGTGTAATTGCCCTCTCCAATGTGATGGGCTTCATTATGAATCTGCCATCAAGCCTCTGCTGGGGTCCATTGAAACTTCCTCTTAAACGACAACATTGGATCTGTGTCCGGGAAGTGGGAGGTATCTACTATAACCTTGACTCTAAACTCAAGGTGCCTGAATCCATTGGAGGTGAAAGTGAGCTCAGGTAGGTTTTCTTCCATCCTAGCCAGTATAACCTAGGTGCCCATCCTCTGAACATTGTGAATTGAAGTGCATAATCCGTAGTGTACAGTGGTGCCTCGCAAGACGAAATTAATCCGTTCCGCGAGTCTCTTCGTCTTGCGGTTTTTTTGTCTTGCGAAGCACGGCTATTAGCGGCTTAGCGGCTATTAGCGGCTTGGCGGCTTTAAGAAAAAGGAAACAAACTCACAAGACGTTTCATCTTGCGAAGCAAGCCCATAGGGAAATTCGTCTTGCGGAACGACTCAAAAAACCCTTTCGTCTAGCGAGTTTTTCGTCTTGCGGGGCACCACTGTAGATTGGTTTTAATCTCCCAGAGATGAAGGGAGTAAAGTGTACCAACAATGGTGAAGAATGGGGGAAAAAAGCCTAGACTTTGTCCTTATCCTTCACTTAGAATTAGCGCAGATTCAAAAGTAGGCATTTGACGTTATTTAGTAATAGGAACCCATTTTCAGGGCAAGGGCAACATCACCCTGGTGGAAAGTTGTTGGGGGCTGCATTCGACTGGCAGGTGCAACCAGAAGCATACACACACACACTCATTTTTTCCTCTTTTTAGTTTATTTAATACTTAATTCATAGTAAGGCTCAAGGCTCACCTTCCATTTTCTTCATAGACTTTTAAAACAAAGTTTGTTAAAGGGTGTTACTGTCTTTTGAACAGTAAGATTTTTTTAAAAAAAGTTCTAAGATCTCTGCAGTTCCAGCTGAAGAAAACCAATAAGATGAAATCATGGCTGACCTGCAAGTTCTTAAAGCTATTCAAATGTCAGAATGTAGGTGCTTACCAAAAATTACACTCAACAAAAAGATTGCATTTGAACTGTGCTTTATTTTTCCCCTACCCACCTTTAACTGCTCCAGGAAGTTTTTGAGACACCAGCTGCGAGGAAAGAACTGTGAACTTCTTCTAGTGGTGCCTGAAGAGGTGGAAGCACATCAGAGTTGGAAAGCGGATGCATGACCTGCAACTACCCTGTCCTCGCACTACAATACTGGTCCTTCTCCCTCCACCAATTTCTAATGTCTTGTGATGTGGATAATGAGCACTCTTCTCCTCTTCCCTGGAACTTTGGCATTTCCCCCCCATTATGAGGCCATAAGGCAACCACAAGGTATTGTCGGAGCCAACATGAAGAACAGAAGCTGGACATGTAGTAGGGGAAGAAAAGGAGGTGGACGTAACAGAACCAGATCTGTGCTCTTTAATTATAATGCATACTTTCATTTAGAAATGGGTGTTGGAATTCTCCCCTTAAATTTCCTGCTCCCCCCCCCCCGGTCTTAGAAGGACTTCATACTGGGTTACACACAACTGTCTCCAGGAGTTCCTATAGCTACTGTTTGGCTAGTGTGTGTCTCCTTCAGGGTAGGGCTGGGGCCAGGCATATTCTCCCCACCCCCAAAGCCATGCCTGCCTCCCTCCAACCCTCATTGTGGAACTCCCTACAGGAGTTTTGGGCTTTTCCTGCCTCCATACTCTTCATTATGTGTGTCCTTTGTCTCCAACACCAAACTTATGTTGAAGAAATTTGCAAACCATTTGGGTCTCTCAGGAAACTCTAGATACTCTTAGCAAAGGTATGGTGCTTGTGGATTCCCCTTTTGTAATAGTAATTGTGCCAAGAGTTAGGGGAGATGTAGACAAAATGGGACCATAATAATGGAACTCCTTACAGGAGTTTTCCTGTCTCATGCTCTTTTTAAGTGTGGTCTGAAAATGAAAGACTGAATAGTTTGGAAAAGTGGTAGCTAAATTGATGCTTATTTAAAAGCCTCAAGTATTTTTGTTAGGTGGTCCACATGTAGCCTGTGTTTATTTTTCTTATCTGTCTGTCCTGTAATTCAGGGAAATATTCACTGAGCAGGGAATAAAACTACAGGCTGTTTTGAGGATGAAATCATGAAACAAAAGGGAAGAGTAGCCAAGTTTCAGCAAGGTAGGAAGCTGGAAATGGAGCAAATGTTGATTTCCAAGTGGAATTATGGGAAACAAGATCAAAGGGCTAGATTTCTGTTGCTCTTGTATAGCAGCTGTCAAGTTGTTGGGGTTGAGAATGTTTAAGCAAGTTTGCTGGGGATGAGGGAAGACTGTTTACAACAGGTAGGCTGAGCCACATTCTTCCATTATGATTGGCAGGTGACCCTCCTGAATTTAACTCTTCTCTCCTCACCAACTAAGTGAACGAGCTAAAGACCCTGGCAGGAGACTAAATTAGTTTTCCTTCTGATCTGATTCAGGTGTTTCACATCACTTCTTTGTGCTAGTTAGTAGGTGAAATGGAGAAAGTGGCCTTTCACTCGATTGACTTCTCCTTGAACCCCGTTTATTCTATTGTTGCATTTTTCATTATTAATGCTTTTTGCCAGCTTCATTTTCAGTAGTACTGGAACAGTGGAAGTAGAACCCACTTTTTTAGTTTCATTCTATAGGAAAATGTAATGGTTAAGGAGGGCTGAAACCGACCCCTTACATCCTTGGAATTTGACCTGTCCATTCTAAGCATGAGCAAGATACATGCTTTCTAAGCCAGCATTCCAAGCCCTTCACAGTTGAATGCAGTGTGAATGGTATTCAACATCTTGTTTATTGACCTCTGGACACCTTGCAGGCAATATACTGGGAACTTGTGTTGGCTATTCTCTGCATGTATTACAGTCCTAGCCTAATTACTTCTATTTTTACAAAAGCCCTCCCCTTTCTTCTGGACTACACATTCCAATAACCAAAGCCAGCTAGCAGAATTTGTACACACATGCACACACTTCACAAGCAGAACATCAGGCTTGCAGTTCTGCTTCTGACTTGAAGCCATTCCCCCCCCCCAAAAAAAATATATCTCAAAGACGTTATTTTGTCTGCTGGCTAAATAATAGCACTTTGGAGAGACCCCGTTTGCATGGAAGCCAATGGACCAGTGCACAATATGCAAATATCTTTTAAAGCATACAGCTGTTTCTTTCCGTCTGTGTGTATTTATGTCATTGTTCTGTCCTTAGGGAAAAAGTGGTGTGATTCAGCAGCTCAGGAAAAGGGAACATGTGATCACCCACCCCTCTGGACCAGAGTTATGGCAGCAGAGGAAAGGAATCAGCCCATTCCCATTGCTTGGGAATGAAGAAGCCCTTAATTGTTTTCCTGCTTGTTTGGTTTTGTTATAGCCTTGTCTTGGGTTTGTTTACAGAGATGTATTTTGTTTAACCAAATATTAAAAATGAAAAAGCCTTCCTGTGTCCTGTCACTTCTGTGTGTTGAACTGAATTGTATTGTAATAATGTATATAAAGGAAAAAAAATAAACACATGTTGGTATGAAGCTGTATAGCCTAAGAAGAACTTATTGCCCAGCTACTCTCCATTGGAGTTAAGAGAGGGTCCCTCCCTGCCATTACTACCAAACACAAACATGTAAAGATAAGGGTTGACACTCCATTGGTAAATTTTAGTATCCTGCTGTTAGCAAGCATAATGTATGTAAAGCCTGAGATAATAAAGAAAATACTTCCATGTTTGCACTGAAACTTTAATACAAAAGTGCTCTAGCTAACTTTGATACTAATAGATTCAGCACAGATAAGACTTGGCAAAAATGACTTTTCCTGCTTCCCTTATTTTTCAAATATGTAACATTGTAGAGCAAGTATCTTTCTTCAAGTAAGAGCTCACTGCATAGAGTCAAGTGCATTCTAGGTTCTTCTATATGCTGCACATTCTGGCATATTTACTCCATTTCTTGCTGTTACTGCTCTGAAATACAGTTGGAGAAGAACGCAGGGCTATTTACACTGACAATTACAGGTTAAAGTTGACCAAATATGACATGTCCTGAGGTGGTTTCCTGGAGGTAAGGCTACCAAAACAGATGCTTCCAAAGTCTTCATTGTTACCTATAATGTTGCTTGAATAGATGGAAAAGTCATGACTGCCTAAAGATTGCAGGAGATCCAGATAGGGGTTCTGCCTTCATTAAGAATAGTTAATATCCCAAGGTTATGAGAAAAAAACGCTGGCCTAATCAAACAGTTCAAACAAATGATTTCAATATTTCATTCCACGATATGGGTCCAGTGTAGCTTCATTAAATCTTTCCAGGAAGAGACGGCAGAGCACCTGGCATCCCTCCAGACAATCCTGTGTTTGGTCCTAATAAAATCTGTTAAGAAATGTGAAAAAGTTTACAAATGCTTGAAAACCAAGAGCAGCATTTTAACTACTTAGCAGCCTACTTGAGGAAGGATGAATAACCCTCCAGATCTTTTGTAAAACTTTAAAAAAAGGGAACACAGCATTTCCTACCATTCTGGAATATTAGCAGTCTCTTCTTAAAACCATGCTGTTGCTGGTGTGGAATTCCAGTACTTAAATACAAGGCTGCATTACAATACAGTCATACCTCGTGTTGCGTTACGTTCATGTTGCGTCTTTTCAGCTTGCAAACACGGCTTGCCTTGCACATGCGCAGAAGTGCTCGATCGCACCGTGCACATGTGCGGAAGAGGTGCTCTAGTTGCGGACTTTTTGGGGTGCAAACAGCACCCTGGAACGGATCGTGTCCGCAACCAGAGGTACCACTGTAATAGATTTCTACTTTCATATGTGGGAAAAACTGCCCTGATAAAATTAAGTGAATGAAGTGTAAAGTACTTGAAAACACAGTATTAGCTATGTCTGTCATGGTGCAATGGTGGTGGTCATTCAGGCAATATCCCCCCCCCCGGTCAGGTGACCAAAGAGGTTCTCTTATATCAAGGGTGATATGCAGCTTTAAAAAGTGTAACTTTTGCAGCTATAGTAAAGGAAGAAAACTAACCAGTCATAATTTCATGCCAATAATAAAAGTAGGGCATGTGTTATTTGTAAATAAAGGAACACATTGTTACTAATAAGGCCAGTCAAATGTCATCACTCAGAAGTATTGCTGTGAGCGGACACAACCATCAGCCGATGTGCTTTTGAAGTCACACAATAGGCAATACCTCAGCCAAATCTGGTGTTTTGTACTCTTTCAGCTGGTTCAGTGCAATTATGGGAAGTACAAAAGCTAGAATTAACATAGAAAGGAAGAGACTATGCAGAAATCTACCCCATCTTGCATCAGCAGCTGGGGTGACTGGAAAATGTTAGGGTGATGGAATGCCTGTAAAAGACACTGCGGGAAGTGATTCATCAGGAGGAAAAAAGTGAAAGAGGTCATGCAGTAAATGAGGGGGGCTATTATTTCATCATATAGCAAAGGTATATACTACATGAGCAAACATGCACAAAAAGATGTAGATGAAAAAAGGAATCAAATACAGTGAAACTGATCCACTAGATGCTTTGAGACAGGTAATTCTGCAAAGATTCAGGAATTAAATTACTGCGTGGTGGAGGAAGATTCACAGATAAAAGGAGGAACATTCTGAAAAGGATGAGAATCACAGACTTAATAGGCCAAAAAATGCTGTAATTCAGTTCTCACCTGTCGCTGTTGCATCTGCTGTTGCTGCTCCATTTGCAGTTTCTCAGTTTCAAAAACAACAGGAAGAACTAGGATCATGAAGGAAGTGGTCCCAATCCACAAAGCTGCCCTGGAGAATCTTTTTTGGGGGGTCGGCGGAGAGGAGAGAAGGTCATAAATAAAGCTAATGTTTCCAACTTCACTACAACGGAAATGACTTATCCTAAAGATCTCACTGTTAGATTGCATTAGGCTATTATTCCAGTTTCAGTACAATCCTCTTCATATGTACTCCAAGTTAAGTTCCACTTAGGACTTACTCCCTGGTAAACGGTTATAGGATTGCAGCCTTAAATCCCCTTCCTATGGCAACATTAGCGTGCATGAACCTTACAACATTTCTCATCACAATCATATTTTTGCTTCCAAATATAAATACTCTCCCTATAAATATCCATCACAATCTGAAATACCTCCAGGTTTTTCCCCTTAAAACTACCAAGATTCCATTAAAAGACAAAGAATTAGCAAAGGAAGGAACTAAATGCATAAATAGTCTATAAAGTTTGGTTTTATACCATAATGAAGTTTCCTTAAAGATCATAGGCAACCTGAGTGATATCCAACATCACACAAACAGCCTTCTACTCATGTGATGCAGCTTTCTGTCATCCACAGCACACTTTAGATCCCAAATCTGCTCTGAAAAGCTCCCCAACCCTCCAGAGCAAACTTGAGCATGCAGAGACTACAATGGGAAGGGGAAATCCTCTTCTACTCACAGAAATTTGTTCATGAGTGGACATAACTGGATATTGCTTCAAAAGAAAAACCTTTCCTCCTCAACTCACTAAGAATGTTTTTTTTGGGGGGGGGGAGTTACGGTAAATACATGGATTGATCTTTGTGGGAACATTAGGATACTGTGTCATGAAAGCTTAGAAATTAAACAAGAGACCAAAGCTATGCTTTCCAACCCTCACAAAATTTGAAACACCCGGAAGAGCAACATTTTAATTTTAATCATTAGCAGCCAACAGCGGTTCGTTATATATACCTATCTCAGGATAATACTTCATACATCTGACAAAATGAACTTTACTCCATGAAAGTTTTGGCTATAAAAAGCTTGTTATTTTTAAAAACATCATAGGATTCTTTGTTTTTGATGCAAAAGACTTACAAGGATATTCCTCTGGAAATTATTTTACTGGAGGTCTTAAAAGAATATAATTATATTTCAAGCAAATTACTGATTCACAATCTTTTATTAGCAGCAATAATTTTGGTTTCTTCTGAACGGAAACTTCTTAGCATGTATTCTGTTTCAGAATGATTAAGAAAATATGATCATGACTACATTAAAAAAAGAACAAAATGAGAATATAAATTCTATTTAACAGGGTTATTTTGTGTCCACAACCTGAGAAATTTATATTTATATTTGATGACAAATTGTTTGGTGTAGTACAGCCTTGCATTTATTATTCATGTCTATATGGAGTATGTGTGTGTAATAAAAGAGTTTAAAGAGCGAACAAAAGGAAAATTACAATTTCAGGGAATAAAGGGCCCAAGCCCTTTACAAGGTCTCTGTTTAGCTGAACTACTATAACTGACTTATGAGTGCTATATTTCTGAGCATACTCAAAATAGTTCTCTAGAACTTCACTCTCACAAGTAAATATAGAACCCCTTTTCTCCCCAACTACAGATGTCACAATTATCTCAATTATTTATGATCAATTTCATGTCAATGGCTCCTTGCAGGCAAAGGGTTTTTTATATTTAATTTGCATTCATTTATCAGCCTTTTCTTCATTAAAGCTTGAATATGCATGGTACATTCTCAACTGCTTGACGATCATTATCCAAACAGCTTACAACAGGTCATTTCTATCCTCACACTAAAAACACACACATCTAGAGTTCTGAATTAAGAAGTCTAAGCGTTCTCAACGGCTGTCTGTCAAACTTAAGAAACGCAAAACACCACCAACTCCCTAACAATTCTCCATCCCCTTGGTGGCTGAAGGATCCAGCCAATTCACTGAGAAAGGCTACCTTAACTACCCACAAACCACAAGTCTTGTGAGGCATAGTTAAGTGACCACCTGCGCATGATATCTGAGGACCAGGGACCAAGGGTCTTGGGTCCTCACCTCCCATTTCCCCCTCCTCACCTGTACATTTTCTGGGCTACAGAAAGAGACACGCCGAAGGTAGCTCCAGCTGCCGATCGGACGCTTTCCGGGAACATCTCTGTCAAGCCCCAGAGCCTCTCTGCCAGCGTCTCGTCCAGCTGCAAACGGGGGAAAGGAGAGATGAGGGTGGGAGCCCCCCAAAACAAGACCCGCCCCCCAAACCCGCCCCCCGTTAACACTGAAAGAGCCCTGCTGAATGGGAACAAAGGCCGATCTAGTCCGGAGCTTCGTTCTCAGCAGCAGCCAGCCAGATGCCAATTATTATTGTTGTTATTATTATTATGACCCGGGGAGCCCTCCTGCAAGGAGAAACCTCAGCAGGCACCAATCCACGCTCCCAGCCGCCCCGCCCCTCCGTCGAGCCCCCTCCCCCTCCCGGCTTGTGCAAGGCCCACTGCAGAAAACACACAGAGGAGACGCTTCCCGGGCTGCTCCTCCTCCTCCCGCGTCCCCTGGCCGGGGCTTCAGCTCACTCGAGCTCCCCGCCTGGGCCCAAGGCAGGGCCGACTCCAGAGCGGGGTCACCTCGCACATGGCCGCCCGGCCAAGCTCCGCGCTTTCGCGGCAGCAGGGGCTGGCTTTACCTCGTCGTCGTCGTCCTCCACCTCCTCCTCCAGCTCTTCGGCCTTGCCCGCCGTGGACTTGGGCAGCAGCAGGTCCTCCGGGGAAAGGGGCATCGCGGCGGCCATGACTGCAACGAGGGGAGGGCAGGCAACGACGAAGGCAGGCTGCCGGCAGCGCAGAGAGCGAGCGTCGCCGGAAGCGGAAGGAGAGAGCGGAAGCGCACGGGCTGTGTTCTGCCGCTGCGCAGCGACACCCAGCGGACGGGAGGAAGGGTTGAAAAGGCAACGCGGGGCTCTCTCGTTGTCCTCGTGCAAAGGCAGCCCCGAGCTGCAGACACGGCAGCTCTTTCTTCTCTGAGCTGAATTGGATTTATTTGTGGGATGTTGCAGCGTATTCTCGCCTTACGACCGGAGTGGTTCTGCTTATGGTGTTGGTCAGCCAGCCCACTCCCCACAACAGTAAATATTAAGGCAGGGACATTGTAAGATGTGGTGGCCCCCTCCAGATGTTGATGCACTACAAATCCCATCATCCCTGACTATGGGCCTGTGTTGGCTGGGGCTGAGTCCAGCAACAACTGGAGTCCACCACAATGGTGCGACAGGATGTGAAGAGATCCGGCAATGTTCCCTGATACCAAGATGAGGGATTCCTTTGGAATGCAGATAGAGTTAATTGATAAGAATAATGATCTGTTGTGAGCTTGACGGAAGTGTACAATAGATGAGCTTTCCTGCTTTGGCTCATCTTCCTTTTTCTTTTTTTTCTATTTTTCTTTTCTTTTATCTTTCCCATAGTTGCTTATGTTCTGTGTCATGTACTTTGATATTTTTTGTAGTTTTTGTAGTTTTCCCCCCATTACTATTAAGGAATTTTCCTTTGTAATTTTGGTTGTCTATATTTATATGTACCTGTTTAAAGCAAAATAAAAGTTATTTAAAAAAAAAAGAAAAGAAAAAAAGAAGAGATCCGGGAGGGGATTACCCTCTTTCCGACAGTCTGACTCCAACCCTCTTTCATTTTTCCAATGACATACAGGATCCTGTGGCTACTAAGCCCAGTCTTCTTGGGCAGATGTGTTTGTTTTTCTGACCTCTGAGGCTCTGGTGCTTTTTAAGTTGAAGATCTCCCGTACGCCCACCAGCAAAGCAGGCCCTTTTATTCACACACACACACACACACACAGGACACAAAATTCCAGAAGGCAAACGAAGATTAATTCTAGAGAGAGTATATTCTGAAGAATGGGGCTTTTGCACTTCTGAAGGGGTAAATAATATGGTAGGTAAATGTGTGTGTGCATGTAAATATAGCATCCATGTTTTCAGGGAGCTTTTTAAAAATTATTTTTATATAGGATTAATACTTTTCTGAGGAGTTAATCTTGAGGAGAGCCAGATTTCTCTTGAACTTGGACGATGTCCCTTAAAACAACACCCAGAGTAGAGTAATGGGCTATGTAATAAAATACACAAGTCAACACTGCAGCAATAGAAACACTGTAATGACTTTATTTTTAAAGTATAAAAATAGATTTATACAACAATTCAACTCAACATTTAACTTACAGTGGCCTGAATGGAACTGGTGGCTGTACAAAGAATTGCCTGAAGATTTGTTTTTTACCAAGATAAGAAGGCAGAATGCACACAGAATTAATGGAGTGTTATAGAACTCTGATACATCATGAAGGAGTGGGATAAAAATGGAAGAGAACCAGTTCTTCAGTGTGGAGTTTTGTCATACTAATAAGGCAATACAGCACATCACTGGGATGGCGTGGAAAAGGAAGAGATGAAAGAACATATAGGACAGAGGTGTCATACTTCCTGGTACACCACTGTACTGTGGCTGTGAACTCAAGCTGCTCTGCAAAGGAAAAATAGGTCACCTCAAAACACGGTGACATCAGGTGATGGACATGTGGGTGAACTAAGGATCTGGCCCACTACACTGAAAAGGTTGCCCCCCCCCTGTGATGTGTCAGTTAGCTTTAGAGTATAGGCCACTGCTATTCAGAATGACTGTGAGCCGACTGAAACATGTAACTTCCCAAATTGTTCACTGTCATCTCCGATTATCAAAGGTTTCCCTCACTAACACATATTGCAGGCCTATAAGGGTATAAGGGCCCAGGATGCTGCCTATCCCCAGTGGTGTCTCTGTATCAGCTCACTGGCTCAGGTTCAGGACCTTACTTTTCCAGAGAATTCTGCGTCCCAAAGATACGAAACAGCCAATTGAAAAGCATTTCTGAAACATGTTAAGAGAGAGACAGCAAGAGTATGTAGCTATATGTTGCAAGCAGTTTCTCCCATTTCTTTTTGCTCTCCCCACACCCCATGATCTTGATTGTCTTCTTGGGTGGGTGGGAAGAGATGCTTATTAACTACAAACCACTACTTGCTACTGATTAGATTAAATGCGTATTGCGGAAATATGTTAAGAGCACTTGGATAGAAGCTCCATTAGGGAAGAAGAAAAGTAGGATAGCTGCTTTCTGATAGCACTGTAGAACTTAATAGTATTTCACATTTGGAGTCCTGGCTAGATATCCAGCAACGTGAGGTCACAACAACAAATGTCTTCCAAGGCAGGTGTGGCTTCCTAAGTTCCTTGCAGTGGATGGTTTTAACCGTATCCTCTTGCTCTTCCCTCTTCCAGCTCCTAGAGGCCCTCACATCCAGTTCACTTCCTCTTTCGGCTATAATTTTTCAGTTCCTCCATCTCTTTCTGCATGAGGTGAGACTCTGCAGTCGTCTCAGAGAGCTATGAATAAAAGGACGAAATGGCAAAAATGGCATTTGTTTTCCCATGTTGTTTTAGTGTTGGTAACCCTTAAAAACAGGTACGTTTGTTTGTTTCTCTCTAAAGCAGTGGATTTCAAACTACAAATCCAGAGGGAATTCCTTCGACATCATATCATCTTCCATTAACTGCTGCCTATTGCAGATGATTCTGGGACTTGTTATGAGGCACATTCACAATGAATGGCCAGCACTAGTCCTCTGGAATGCATTTCATATTCCTTATGAACCTGGGCTTTGTGGGGGAAATCAATAGAATAATATTGGAAGAGCTCTTTTCTGGGCAGCCATGCTGCCACTGCCTATCTTCTCATAAAAGGCAGCCAGGGTTCTCAACATAGCTGTCAATGTTTCCCTTTTTTAAAAAGAAATTCCCTTATTCCGAATAGGATTCCTCACAAGAAAAGGGAAAAGTTGACAGCTATGGTTCTCAATAAGATCATGAAGTGTTCTGGCGCCTGGTTTGAATCCCACGAGACATGGACCCAGTGTGTCACCATTGTCATTCCCCTGATTTTGTATCAAGCAGAAAAATTAATGTAGATATCAAAGACATATTGATGCACAGAGGTGAGTGAATCACCTCATTCTCACCATATCCAACAAAATGTCAATTTTCAGCTGTAGGAGATTGTTCTCTTCCTCCAGCTGCTGGATCCGTTTCCGAAGGCGGTTTGCCTCCCTGCGGTCCCCCGTGTCCCCAAATGATTCTAGGAGAGAGAAAGTGGTCAGTACTAGAATCACCTTGCACTCACAGAAAAGTGTCAAAAGCTACGCAACTATGGCCCTCTAGCAGCTCTGAGAAGCAACTGCATTAGCTAGATGGAATCCAACACGGTCAATGTGCTGACATCTTGGTGTACCTTTAAGATCCCCTATTAAATGTCCGCCCCAAGAAGAGTGTCAGTAACCTTGTGACATGAATGACCATTGGTGAACCATGCACACCTACCCACTCAAGCTGGCATCTGCACCTAGTCAGACCCAGACTACAACAAAAATACCACTCCTGACACAACCAGAACCAGCATCAACACTACAGTACTATTTGCCAGAATACATCAAATAAGGAGGTGTGGAGGACAATGGGAGTACAGACTCAGCATGGCTGGGGGTTATTGGAAGAGTTGTATCTTCTGAGGAACAGGATGAGGCCATTGAGAACCTGATAAGGATTGCTTTTGGATTATGGCCAACGGGATTAGTGTTCTCTCTCACCTGCTATCCACTGGCCATTCTCAAACCTCATACTCTGTCCAGTAAGGGTCATGACAGGAGTGCCATACTCCAGGCCTAGCTCAATCTCCCGGCTTGATCTATCCAGCTGTAGGAGGAAAATGGACACAACGTTTTGTTTTCATTCTCCTCAACTCAACTATACAAATATTCATTGCTCTGTCCACTTTGACTCTGATCTTGCCAATAACTGGCATGTGGCCCTCAAAAGGTTCCCCACAGGGGCCCTTGGGTTGAATAATATTCCCCATCCCTGGTTTTGTCAATCCAAGATTTTACCTTCTAAAACAGTGGTACGGGGGACAGACACACAGTGTAACAAAGATGCATGGTTTATTTGTTTTTAAAAGACAATTGGAAGCCTTTAAAATTAATCAACACAAACACTGCAATAATTATGATTCAGACCTTCCACTCAGAAAAAAATCAGAGCAAGAATCTGAAACATAACCCTTTTTCCTTCTAGGAGTGGATGAGCTATTCTAAGTGTTGGTACTCCTCGCTTGTAAATTAGATGGGTAGCCGTGTTGGTCTGCCATAGTCAAAATAAAAAAATCCTTCCTGTAGCACCTTAAAGACCAACTAAGTTAGTTCTTGGTATAAGCTTTCGTGTGCATGCACACTTCTTCAGATACACAGGTTGATGGACTTCCATTTCATGCGGCTCAATGTGGTGCCTTCCATGGTTCCAGTTACAGATGGGTAGCCGTGTTGGTCTGCCATAGTCAAAATAAAAAAATCCTTCCTGTAGCACCTTAAAGACCAACTAAGTTAGTTCTTGGTATAAGCTTTCGTGTGCATGCACACTTCTTCAGATACACAGGTCTGTGTATCTTCTTCAGATACAAAGGTCTGTGTATCTGAAGAAGTGTGCATGCACACGAAAGCTTATACCAAGAACTAACTTAGTTGGTCTTTAAGGTGCTACAGGAAGGATTTTTTTATTGTAAATTAGAGGTATTAATAAGTTGCCTGTGTAGTTGTGTAGTTGTTCCTGTTGTGCAGCTGCTTAAGAGTTTTGGGTCAGAATTGATGGGGCTGTATCCAATGCTAGTCCTGCTCAAAACAGACCTTTTGAGGTGAATGGCAATGACTAACGTAATTTCAAATCTACACTGAGCACAATTGTATAAAACCCATGGTCTGTATTATTTATGGATTTCTATGGGCAGCACAGGGGACGCGGGTGGCACTGTGGGTAAAACCTCAGCGCCTAGGACTTGCCGATCGCATGGTTGGCGGTTCGAATCCCCGCGGCGGGGTGCGCTCCCGTTGCTCGGTCCCAGCGCCTGCCAACCTAGCAGTTCGAAAGCACATCAAAGTGCAAGTAGATAAATAGGTACCACTCCGGCAGGAAGGTAAACGGCGTTTCCGTGTGCGGCTCTGGCTCGCCAGAGCAGCTTCGTCACGCTGGCCACATGACCCGGAAGTGTCTGCGGACAGCGCTGGCTCCCGGCCTCTAGAGTGAGATGAGCGCACAACCCTAGAGTCTGTCAAGACTGGCCCGTACGGGCAGGGGTACCTTTACCTTTACCTTATGGGCAGCACACTCCAGTCTATGATACATTCTGTGTACAGCATATGATTGTGACGGGCTCTGCCTCTCTTATTTCCAAGGCACTATTTTGTGACTGACTGTAGCTGGGGGACCCTGGGACTCTATTTTTAAAAAGGGGAGAATTAGATCCCAGACACCTGTTTTAGGTTCCGGAACTTACCATGTGCAAATTGGAAAGTGAGGCTGATTTCCTGGGTGGGGTTTTCTTTGGACTGAATGTGTTTCCAAAGAGCGGCATGGCTTCCTCGCTTAAAAGCTTGTTAGAATTGTTCTGGTTGCCTGAAATAAGAAGGAAGAAAAAGAAACAAAAGACCATTACCTCATGACCTCATCACTGTGCACAACATTAAGAGGCTGTGAGTCAGAGCAGATTGGCCTACTTAGTGTCATCAAAATAGTGAGAGCAATAACTGTCATTTTCCAGAAACCAGTTTCTAGTTCTCATGGAGACAGTCAAAACATTTACAGCTCCCCCAGCCTAACCTTTTAAAAAAGAAAAATGGTTGGTAATTTTTTAAAAAGAACATTTCTGCTATGGGCTTCATCTTAGGCTACTAAATACACTAAGTATTTTGTGTGGAATTGCCACCCTATTCCATATTGTAATTTGTTTTAACTGTTTTTAATAATGAATTTTAAATTGTTGTAACTAGTCCTGGGATCTAATTATGAAAGGTGGGTAATGAATTTAATAAATAATAATACCTTATGCACTCATATTTTTAGGTGGAATTACAAAGAGTGTTGTCATCCATATGCAATCCTCCCTTTATTCCTATCACAAAAAAAAAAATTTTTTTAATGCAAGGGGAAATAGGGGATACAGAACGGTAGCACATTCTCCACAGGTCTGGTGGATCTTAGCACTAATATTCTGTCTGTTTAACTTAGTTTCATTGGGCTGAGGGGAAATATCCTATTTAAGAAGACAGAAAGTGACAGAATAACAAATGCTATCTGCAAACCGAAAATTAGACTAATCCGTCACCATCTTTCACATATTTGAAATCATCAGGTCAGGTCATTCAATCTGCTTTAGTGTATGCATGGTTTGGGAAATATCAATTGTAGCAAAAGATTAAATACAGTACGTACAGTACTTGAAAAATTAAAAAGGGTATCATATATCCTATTCCTTTTGCGGCTCATTACTGCCCTTAACAACAAGCCTGCAAAGTGCCATTCCTCAAAATTATCTCAATATTGGAACTAATATTGAAACAATGAAATCTGTTGTCATTGCTTCTGCTTCAGCAAAGTCAGGCTTGGAGGTTTAGCTGCACAATGAGTGTGATTAGGCACAATATCTTAAATTGAATCTTGTAAAAGGTGGTTCTTCATTATTTATGCAATTATGTGAGAGACCCTTTGAAGCCATGCCTAGCACTGCTGGATTCATCTAAGGAGAGTGTGGAAATGAATCACTTACCACGTAGCTTGGAATACAAGTATTTTCCACCCACCTCCTACACACAATCACACAACTTTAGCAGATGCACCGCTATGCAAAAAACCAACAGGTGCAGCTCATCACTGCAGCTCCATCTTTGGGAAAGCTGCACCTGTTGAATATCTGCCTGAACTACAGCTTCATTTAAAAGCTCTCTCGGGCCGGCAAGTGGCAACCTTAGCGGCACCTTAAGTGCCGAGACCCCTAACCCCATCTACACTAAACAAAATCCTGACTCTTGTTATAGTGGGAGTTTAATACTCTTAATCCCACTGTTTAAGTGGGGCAGATTGAGACCGCAGCAAATAAAGCAGCGGGGGGGAGGGAGTCGAGAGTCGCTGCCGTCCTAAACCCGCCAAATGGCTTCACCCCAGCATCGCGCACCCACAACCGTGGAGCTCCTCACCTGACAGATGCACCACACACCTCCGCACCCCGGTTGTATCCTCCGAGGTGAATTGCGCATGCGCACTCTTTGATGCTTCGCGACTTGCGGTAGCCGAGAAACGCACAGCGGGCGGAACCACCCCAGGAAAGAAATCGAAAATTCCACGGGACAGAGGAGGGGGCATACGCATTTCATTTTAAATGCATAGAGTGGCGGAATTTTGTTTAAAACGTCTCAAAATAAGTAAAATGCCCTGCGTCTGGAGGAAGCTTGTGAGAATATCAGAAAATGCACCCCTTCTCTTTTCGTGTCATGGTTGTATCCCAAACCGCCGGGAAAGGCGGAGCGAACGGCAGCGCCGCGGACGGGACCGTACCATTGTTTATAAAAGGCGAGGGGGGGAGAGAAAAGAGTTTTGGCCGAGTTGTAAAATTACGTTAACAGTGTTATCCCTCGGGAACAGAGCTTGTGAGTGAATTGCATCTCACACGCAGATTCGTCAGTCGTAGCCGGCATCTAATGCTACCTTTTAGAGATGCAAAAAGGTTCAAGAAATAAATGGTTTGCTCCGAGTAGTTGCCACGGTGACGGAAGAACGCTCAGGGAGGAGGACATAAAAGGGCCTGTTGTGGGCGGGGTCGGCAGAGACTCCGTCCTGGTTCGAGAGATAGAGTCGGCGGGGCAAGGGCCGCTTCTGGTATCGGTCTTGTTAGGGTCCAGAAGAAACAAACAGGGTCCCACAGCTGTGTGGGCAAGGAGGTGCCCCTTCCCGCCCTTTCACTCCGGTGCGTATGGGCGCCCCTGTGTTACTGCGATGCTATGTAACACCCGAATAAGTTGGGAACGTCGTTTTTTCACGTCGACCATCAACGTCTTTTGATGAGCCTCTATAAGCTTCCCAAAGGAAAGGCGGGGGAGATCATAATACACGGACTATTATTGTTCATTTTGTTGCTCTCGTTTTGCTGACATTTTCTTCACAGTCTTAATCTGGCGACCAATCTAGGAGATCTGCATCAGTAACGCTCTGCATGCCTGGTGGACAGTTCTTCTCTTAATTCAGCCTAGGCCATATCAGCACCCATGACTGTTAAAAGTGGTATTGTGCTTTAAATGCCTGGTGCAGATGTGGTGTAAACTGGTAGTTTTCTTATCAACAGTTTTCTGTTGCTACTGATTAATTTTGAAATAGTCGTGCATTTCCTTGTAGGAAAGGTTCTCCCAAGCCCTTGGTTATTTTGTCTGCCCCTTTCCCAGTTCTACAGTGTTCTTTTTGAGATGGGGCAATCAGAATTTTATACCATGCATAGCTGCAGCATTGGCATATTTAGAAGGTCATTAAGGTATTTCAGTTTCATGTTTTAATTTCCTGGTGATCACTAGCATGTAATTTACCGTTATGTTTTTAAGCACCTCTGCACACGCTTAAAAAACAAACAAACCTCTTCCTCCCACCCTATCCTGACCCATTTCACCTCTGGATAAACATGCGCAGGATCGGGCTGCACATTGATATGCAAAGCACTCCAGCATTGGACACGTTTTCTTGGAAATAAAGTTGACAAATTGTGTAGAGAATACACCAGTGTAATGATACTTTTAGGCTGATTAGAATTTGCACATTTTTACTCGGAAGGAAGTGTATATAATGCAGCCTCAGACTGCTAAAATACACATTTTTTATACTTGAAAAAATTATAATCAAAGGTAATACAATTTTATGTGTCTCTTCACAGTTTGAATGAAAAAGTAGCAAGAAAACTAATGTGTGACAGAACAAGAAACAAAATTCTGGTAGCTTCATAAAATCCTGATACTTTGCTATCCCTCCGTACGGTGGAGAACAATGCAGTTAATAGTTGTGATTTTCAGGCTTGAAATTTCTTCTGGGAATACCTAACTACAGCTAGAATTCCAAATTGCTGCCTCTGAGTTGGCAGCTGTAATTACTACAAATTAAGTAAAACAGATTAGGATAATTTTCCCCATGGGACCCTTTCTTCCTCTTACTAAGCTATATTTGGTGGAGGGGAGTGGGGCAGAAGTGTTACGGTATATTTATAAAGTAACCCTTTTGGTTTCCACATGAGGAATCCTAAAATAGCACTCAAGATTAAATCAGCTCAAGCCAATTGGAAAAGTTATTAAGTGTGATCATGCTTTGGGAACAAAATAGTAAGCAAGTTTGTGGGGAAATGTGTTTTTAATATACGGTAAATGTGTTGTCTCCACTTTATTTTTTAGGGTTTAGTAATTTCAAGATGCAATTTGTAACTATTAAATCATTTGTAAGCCCTTTAAAGGGATTCTTGATATTGCCATCAGCAACCCAAGAAAAGAAAAAAGACACCGTCAGTTGCACATTAGATGACAAACCACGATGTATCCTTTGTTCCTATAATTAACAATGTATGTGTAAATAAATATAAAACTTGTATCATATATAACTGTTTTACTTTTGCTTTAATTTAAATTGTTTGGGTAATACTTATTCGGTATCTGAACCTCATTTTCTTGAGGTTTGGAGAAATCTTGAGTCATCACTGGGGTTGTCATATTTCAAAGAGTAAAATTCCTGACGCCCACAAAGTTGTGGAACTTTTTTGGAGAACAAACCCACATGTTTGAGCTTTTTTTGGGAAACATAAACCAAAAATAGTTATTTTAAGCTTTTTGAGCTGTTTCCATTGCTTTTTCCATCATGCTGCCATACATCCGGGTTTTCCCTGACATTCAACAAAATTCACCCCCTGACGCCATTTTTACACCCTAAAAACCAGGACATGTCTGGAATTTTTCTGATGTATGACAAACCTGGTCATCATCCCCAAACTTAGATACTTTGTCATGAAAAAAAGAAATATAATTGCAGTCAGTCTTACATGATAATTGTGTGAGTTGAAATAAGGAAATACTATTATTTGTCTTGCATCTAGTGGGGCAGCAAGCAGCATGTGGTCAAAATCAGGCAGGCAGTTGAACACTTGATGACTCAACATACACATAACATATTGAAATTAAAAGACGCCTGCTTCTTGGGAGAAAAGCAATGACAAACCTAGACAGCATCTTAAAAAGTAGAGACATCACCTTGCCAACAAAGGTCCGTATAGTAAAAGCTATGGTTTTCCCAGTAGTGATGTATGGAAGTGAGAGCTGGACCTTAAAGAAGGCTGATCGCCGAAGAATTGACGCTTTTGAATTATGGTGCTGGAGGAGACTCTTGAGAGTCCCATGGACTGCAAGAAGATCAAACCTCTCCATTCTGAAGGAAATCAGCCCTGAGTGCTCACTGGAAGGACAGATAGTGAAGCTGAGGCTCCAATACTTTGGCCACCTCATGAGAAGAGAAGACTCCCTGGAAAAGAGACTGATGCTGGGAAAGATGGAGGGCACAAGAAGAAGGGGACGACAGAGGACAAGATGGTTGGACGGTGTTCTCGAAGCTACCAGCATAAGTTTGTCCAAACTGCGGGAGGCAGTGGAAGACAGAAGTGCCTGGCGTGCTCTGGTCCATGGGGTCACGAAGAGTTGGACATGACTAAACGACTAAACAACAACAACAAAAAAGTTGTGCTCCACCTTCACGCTCTGCCCGAGCAGTAGCAACATTCCTTTAGAAGACATCTGAAGGTACCCCTGTATAGGGAAGTTCATTAATGTTTAATATTTTGTTATGCTTTTATATATGTTGGAAGCTCCCAGAGTTGCTGGTTTGTGGAGGGCCAGATTCCCCTAAATTCCGGTGTGCCAGATCCTCCCAATAATTCATGGATGTAGTAAAAGTTAGAATTAATCAAGATTTGATTAAATTTTGGCAAACATGGAAATCTCCTAGATTTAGCTATGCTAAAGAGCTAAGCCAGCTTTGCAGAGCTAGCTAGATGGGCCATTAGCAGAGGACACAGGCCAGTCATGGACCATCAAAGAAACCATCAGAGGTCAAGACTGCCAGGCAAGCAGGAGTGGGGCTTCTTTGTTGAGTGCTAGTGGGCTAGAATTAGGGTTTCAACTTTGAATGATGTAGACGGTGGGGAGTCCTTTGAGTCAATTAGCAGCAAGAAGGAGGAGGGGCAGGACTCCATGTGAGTTGGGGATAAAAAGGTAAAGGGACCCCTGCCCATATGGGCCAGTCTTGACAGACTCTAGGGTTGTGCGCCCATCTCACTCAAGAGGCCGGGGGCCAGCGCTGTCCGCAGACACTTCCGGGTCACGTGGCCAGCTTGACAAGCTGCATCTGGCGAGCAAGCGCAGCACACGGAACGCCGTTTACGTTCCCGCTATAAAGCGGTCCCTATTTATCTACTTGCACCCGGGGGTGCTTTCGAACTGCTAGGTTGGCAGGCGCTGGGACCGAGCGACAGGAGCGCACCCCACCGCGGGGATTCAAACCGCCGACCTGACGATCGGCAAGTCCTAGGCGCTGAGGCTTTAACCCACAGCGCCACCCGCGTCCCTGAGTTGGGGATAACAAGCTGGAATTAAGAATCACAGAAGGTGGCTGTCCTTTGAAACCAATGCTGCACTTAAAGGGGAAGTCAGACCCTCATAGGATGTGAATGCCCTTCAGTCGCTCCATCTAGGTCCAGGTTGTATATGTATAATAAAACCATATATCATAAAGACACCACAGTCTCTGTTGTGCCTCAAAAGGTAATACAGACCCTAGTAAGCATGTCTGCAACCCCTGGAATTTCACACCACTCAGGGAGATCGGGGTGGTGTGTAACAGTTTATAAAGGAAATACAGCATTTAAGTGATGGTAATAGGAGGTTTAACAAAAAGGAGGATGAAGAATTTTGCATATGCTTTGAAGGTTTTCAAAATATTCCTTAACAAATATCTGTTAGTGTATGTCATTGGCAGCATAGGACAAGTGAACCAGAAAATTTCTCACTTAGAACTGGGTCTGAAAAGATATGACAGTAGTGAAGGAGTGAGTAAAGAAATCTTATCAGCATTTTATACAAGGAATCCCACTGTGTTTTTCTGCTGCTGCTTCTAAATAATAGATGCTTGGTCAAAGTATATTTCTTAGCCTTTTCGATGACAAACTGAAAATCAGTTGCTGCTGTTGTTGTTTTTTAAAACTGAGGTGAAGTCCTAGATCAACACTAATATAACTGTGTTGAACCCTAGAATAGGATACACCAGGTGCAATGAAACTATCGCACCAGCTAGGCCTAAATATTGCAAGTTTTTGAATCCCTGTATTTTTCATGCGCATATATTTATTGACAAGATCTTCTAGTTGTCAAATATATTTTATTTTACTCACATTTCTAATCCTAATTTCAAATACATTTCTTAGGTTCCTGAAGAATGTTCTGGTTTTAACTGAAACTCAGAGTTAAAAGAACTACAAGATAGTGAGGGACTTAATAATGCCTCTCTTATTTAATACAAAGAAGGTAAATTCCAGGACCTTGTAGGAAGTTAGTGCCTAACCACCCTTTTCCATTATTTTTCTCATTGAAGGTGATTGGGGAAATGGGGCTCAAGAGACGCAAGACATCCAGAAAAGTATCGAGACCATTTAGGGCGAAAGGTATGCATTAATACTACCAAATATGAAATGGAGGCTCTAACCCCTTAAAAATGATGTTCTTGTTAGAACATATTTATTCGAGTAAATTTGTATTTTGTCCTGTAGTTCAGATATGCCAAACCATGATTTGTGCTAACAGCGGTTAAGAACTCTTGGCAATAAATCACCGACGGCCAAGTTGTTGCGTGGTTAAATAGGGACCTCCCATAATCTCTGCCCTAAGGAAGGATTAGAGAGGGAGATAAATATTACTGTTTTGTCTTACACTTTCTCCAAGGCACTGAGCTTGGAAGACATGGCTATTCGGCTCCACACTGCCATCACCATTTTATTCTCTTTTTGTGTCCCAAAATACTGAACAACTTGGGTGTGTGAGAAGAGTCTGGTTATAGAGGGGAAAATTATCAGTGAGCGTTAGCCTGAATCTGTAAAGGGTTTTTCCCCCTGATGTCCAGGGACAGACATGGATAAGATTTAGTAATAACAAAAACAGGTCATGAGTCGCAACAATTAGGTTTCCCAAGGGCATAGTTGCAGTAGAATCAGTTGAGCATCTTAGCCAGTCAAAGTACATTTAAGAAAGTGTTCCTGGTATGGACTGAGCTTAGATATATTGGAAAATACAAAAGAAGGTGCTGAATTTAATTAGGGAAGGGGATGCTTACTGGAGGGAAGCAGTTACTTGCAGAGGATAATTTATGGTCAAATCAGGGCTTTGAACTAGGCACTGGGGAGTTCATTAAGCAAATACAAGCATAATACTGGTCACTGCAGGGAAATTACCCTTTATGGTAGGCCACTGGTGGGAAGCTTTGGGAACCCCCCTCAATAAATGATTAATTCAATTTGAGTTTTCTCTGATTACTTATGTTAGTGTTATGCTCTTTGCTCAGAGCAAAACCCTAGTGAATATACTTAGTCTTAAGGCCTGTTTAGAGTTCCAGTTTAACCAAGTTTCTCAGTAACAAGCATTGGTTCAGCATGCTGTCCACTATACCACTCTGGCTCCTGGTCATCTGTATGGGCTCACTTCATTCTGGGTACCCATGCAAACCACTGACAAATAACAAACCTCCCTTTGCTTGGAATCCATTTGCTACCTACTATAGTACCATTTGACGCGGGTGGCGCTGTGGGTTAAAGCCTCAGCGCCTAGGACTTGCCGATCGAAAGGTCGGCGGTTCGAATCCCCGCGGCGGGGTGCGCTCCCGTCGTTCGGTCCCAGCGCCTGCCAACCTAGCAGTTCGAAAGCACCTTCGGGTGCAAGTAGATAAATAGGGACCGCTTCCCAGCGGGAAGGTAAACGGCGTTCCGTGTGCTGCGCTGGCTCGCCAGATGCAGCTTGTCACGCTGGCCACGTGACCCGGAAGTGTCTGCGGACAGCGCTGGCTCCCGGCCTATAGAGTGAGATGAGCGCACAACCCTAGAGTCTGTCAAGACTGGCCCGTACGGGCAGGGGTACCTTTACCTTTTTTTATAGTACCATTAAAAACTGGCACAGGCACGTGGTAGAGTGCAGTGGAAAGGGGAAAATATGCTACTTCATTTTTCTGGTGGAGCAAAAATATCTGCAAACCACAACCCCAAATCCAGTGCTTTTACTTAACTAATTCCCACGAAAAAATTGTCCATTTCGTCCTAAGATGCTCTTCAGATGCTAAGGGTGGCCATTTTTTTCTCTTATGCTGTAGAGAGAGACCAGAAGGTGATGCAGAGGTCTGGAAAGCATGCTACAGAGAAAATAGCTCAGAAAAAGGTATGATGGCATGTGAGGGATCAGGAGTCATTGATTCCTGTGCATATTAGAAAGATGCAGAATCCTAAATGCTCAGGAAGTATGAGATGTGTTATGTACTGAAGTTCTCACCCTGGGCCAGCAGGGGGATACTGTAGATAGTTATGCAAATAAGGGATCGAAAGTGACATTCAGTGATTGGATAGTTTTAGGAAATTGTTACAGTTACATTGTACTGGAGCTCTATATAAGCAGGCTGACTGAACCCTTCAGTTCAGTTCTGTCCTGGCTTGTGAATAAACAAGAGCTGTTTGAAGAACCGCTGTGTCGTCTGATACGTTCACCCACAACTTAACAAGATGCATTGTGACAAAAGTGCCTAGGAAGGTCTCATGATGAATCAGATAGTTGGTCTTTTTAATCCATTATACACTCCTATAATAATTGTTTCATTTATATAACACTGGTCATTAGCATTTGTACAGTACAGTGCTTTTGAATGTTCAAAGGTTTTTTCACATCCTTTAACTCGCCACAGTCCTGGAAATAAACTAAGATATTATTAGTACCTTATTCTAGATGGGGAGGAGGAGCTAAGGCTGAATATGGCACTAGATTTGTTAATAGTTAACCATTGCTGTGTGTGAAGGTGATTTTTGTCAGGACTCTGGTGAGTCCCAGAAACTTTGGAATGTCAACAGACTGCCATTAGGGTGCTCACTGGGTTGAATTGTGAGCTGAGTGTCTTCTTGATTTCTCATATATTAATTGTTTTTTTAACCCCTAGATGGTAACAGAAAAGGATAAACTTGTGGAATTATATCAATACCCAGGATACTGTAAGGAGAAACCTACACCATTGCCAAATGGAATAGAGCTGAGTGAAATTTTGGAGAAGGTGATTCGCGCCCAGGGTAAAACACCAGTTGGTAAGGTACGCTGCGTATCTCAAACATTCAGAAGTTGATAGCAGGCTGGACGAAGGAGGTAGTAGGGGTGAATTGATAATGTAGGGCCGTACATGCTTTTTTGACGTGCATTTACCTGGCGCAAGATAGTATAGCTGGGGCAGTGTCAGCACCAGGCATCTTCGGGCGGTTGCTAGGGCCACAGCATCCTGGCAGGGGTCACATCTGATGACTTCCCTCGCCCTCCCCTTTGTTGGTTTTCCTGGTCTATCACTCTGAACAGCCCCAGGTGGCTCAACCTAGCATCACCCTTGCGGCATTGTAGGCAGTTAAAATGGTGGTTAGACCCAGTTGCTTATCACCGCTTGGAATGCTGCGACTGCGGCTTGGTAAGTTAGGGCCCAATGACAGAGGACAGAGCTCACTAAAGGACACGTTAACTAGGGCTCCCTTAAACCTGGAGTTGACCCAAGTGTATAATCTGGTACAGGAGTTATGATCTTGCTATAATAGCCATGGTTAATTGGCCAGAGAATGAGCATTGTGCCTGCCAGCTTCCTACCTTCCTTCCATTCTTCCTTCTCTCTCAAGGCGCAGTTGAAACATCCAGTGTTTCTTATACCACATTTCCCCATTATATCTCAACTGGAAAACTCTGGTTAATCTTGGACAACAAACCAGGATGTGAAATCAAGGTCTGAAACTTCTAGACCAGAGCTTTCCAAACTGTGAGTCGCGACACATTTGTGTGTCAACTGCAGTGTGTTGGTGTGTCACGCGAACAGTCCCCGCGCCCCTCCCAGGTCTGGAATGGGGTTAGTTTAACCTCTGGTTTGCTAGTAAAACTGAATGACTGTGTCATGAAATGATGCATGTCCCAAAAGTGTGTCACCAACATGAAAAGTTTGGAAAGCTCTGTTCTAGACCACCAAGAGCATTTCTAGGCCTTTGAAAGACCTGGGGCACAGCCAATCACACATATTTGCATAAAATTTGCTTGTACTGATACTCGTTATGGATTCATATTTGAGCTGACTTTCAGCGGGAATGCCACCCTGTAAGCAAAGTAACAATTTAAAAAAAGGGGGTGGGGAGAAGATACAGGAGAGCCATAATCCAGTACAAAAAATCAAAGGTTCAGGCCAGCCCCTTACAATGCTCCTTAGACCATAAAGAGCCTTTTGACACCTTAAAGATTAACAGATTTATTATGGCATAAGCTTTCATGGACTGGAATTCAGTTCATCAGATGCATGAAATTTAATCCTAAATTGACAGGCATACACACACACCATGTGGGTTTTCCAGACAGGAGTTAAATAATGTAAATGTGTCATTGAGATGTTGCAAACAGATTGTTGGCAACACCTTTTTTAAAAAAAACTTACTGGATTTTCTATAGAAAGTGTAAATTTGGATTAAATTGGGAACAGGGGTAGACTTGCCTTTTGATGACTATGACATTATGTGGGCATTACAAAAAAAAGCTTGCCAGGATGAGGAGCACTCATCCCATAATAAACACTAGTCTGGATGTACCAATAGTATGGAGCCAGGACTGAAGAGGAGTGAGGTCAGAGGAAATGAAAATGTAAAAGTAAGCAACAGTAATAATTACACAAAAGCAAGAGAGTTACAATTAACAAGGCCATGGTGATACATTTATTGTTCAGCCAATTAACACATGCGGTATGATCAAAATCCATAATCTTGATTTAAGACCATTATATTCCTGTTTAATTTCTTTCAAGACACGCTGGGCTTCAAAGATGCTGCAAAAGTTTCTCGATGCGCCATGTATCCAAGCTATTTTGCTGGACAGTTTCTGGTGGCAGTTTCTGCACTTGTATCATGTAAGAATAAGGGCTGAATATTGGGGGCTTGGAAGATAGTTTTCCTCCTGATTTTTCGTTTCTGATTTGCAGCTGCTCAGTTTCTTCAGTGACAGTGCATTCCTCTTCTAATGCTAGTCCCAATGCCAGCCCAGCAATTGCAAATGAACATTCCAGATTTTTTTTATTGCATTGCAGAGGCACAAAAAACCTGTAACTTCTGCTTTGGACGTGCTTGCTAGCCTCACTTTCAGTGCCACACAGGGATGGCCTGCCCGTTAAGTCATTAAATAAGCACTGACTGTCTTGCATCATCTTTCAGGGATGCTTTAGACATCCTCTTTATTGTGCATTCCTGATTTTTTGTGTCGGGACAGTTATACACAGTCCTGATTTCAATGCAGTTTTGCCTGGTTAAGTTTCAGGGTAGACATACTGTTTCCAGTCAGTGCATGTCTCATAATTTCCTACTGAAATCCTGTAACTTTTCTAGTCTGTCTGGTTTTTGGGGGGTTTTTTTTTGCCCTTCTTTTGTTGCACTGCAGTGCAAGAACACCCTTCAAGATGGCCATCACACAATAACATTGGAGATGCATTGGCAAACAGCTAATAAAGCAGACTGGTGTGTAGATGATCCAGTATAAATCCATCACTAATGCACAAATGCATTAAATCAATGGCATTTTGCAGAATACACCTGCCTACCCACCCACACAAACCAGTCTGGAGGGGCCCTTATATTTAGACAACTGCCACATAGCATCCTTCGATCCAACGCCTGTCCTGCTTTTCTTATGTAGCCATTTCTTTCTTTTAAGTTATTTATCATTTTTTATAATAGTATTATTTATAATCGCAGGAATTCACGAAGCAGCCAACAAATAAAAATAAAAAATCACAATGAAACCTTTAAAACATTAGCAAAGGAAACAGTTTAACACAGAAACCAGTACAATAGCATTATCAAATCATGATAAGAGCTAATGCTTTTAGAGTTGATGTTTCGTTTATTATCAGAGATACCTCGGTCTCAGACAAATTAACACTATATGTCTGCAGTAGCCCTTAGTATTGTGCCCAATATCAAATCAGAAGCCAGTTCACTACTGTGAACTCCAGCTAATGGTCTGGCAGCTGTATTTTGAACCAGGTGAAGTTTCTGTATGCTTTTCAAAGCATACAGTCTCATGTATAAGTAGCTTTCATTTCACTATGTGTAGGTTTGTAGTTTATCCTACCTTTCTGAAGCCTCATTGCAAACGCCTCACATTTATTTCTCTCCCAATAGCCGAATCAAGAGATTCAGGGGCGTTTGTTCGAACGCATTTCAGAAAATTATTCTCGCGTTCTGTTGGGCTGTCACAAGGTTGCCAGTCAGGAACTCATCCTTACAGTAAGTATGAAAAAAAAATCCATAAAGAGATATCAAGTTTCAAGCAGGGAAACTCCCATTTGTGCCAATGAGAGATATTTTCTGAATACTAATTTTCACCCTGATATTGCTTACTGTTATTGCGCTGGGAAGGCTTAACCTTCCCCTATCCTTGTACAGTGGTACCTCGGGTTACAAACACCTCAGGTTACAAACACTTCAGGTTACAAACTCCGCTAACCTGGAAGTAGTACCTCGGGTTAAGAACCTTGCCCCAGGATGAGAACAGAAATTGTGCGCCCGCGGCGTGGTGGCAACAGGAGGCCCCATTAGCTTAAGTGGTACCTTAACTCAGGTTAAGAACGGTTTTAGGTTAAGAACGGACCTCCAGAACGTTTTAAGTTCGTAACCAGGGGTACCACTGTACTGTGGTGACAGTGACAACCACTCACCTGACCTGGTATTTAGTTTTTCAAAACCCACAGCATGACTGTGGATCACATCATTAACTTAACATGTTAACAGTTGCAGTTAACCAATTTATTTGAGCTCTGATTTCCCCTGCCTTGGTTTTAGCTTTTCCCTTCACTGCTGAGCCAAGCTGTGTACACCTGCTTCTGCTACTGTTTCTCAAGGTCCTGGTTCAATACACATGAATTCAAGGCTGGGCTCTGTGATATATTCTCCGAGTGGCTGCGAGGTGAGATAGCCTGTTCTCCTTGCTTATGAAGGGAGCTGGACAGACTTTGCTTGGAGATCCATGTTTCACACAGTGCAGTAATGTTTATGGCAGTGCTTTTTTCTGGGGGGACACAGGGGTGCGCATACCCCTAAACATTTTGTAAATCTTTGTACTTTTGTCCATTTACTGTATTTATTTATCCCCGATTTGAACTATAAAATGGTGATTTTCTTGAGTCAAAATGAGAGTACCCCTAAACATTTTTTTAAAGAAAAAAGTACTGTTTTTAGCAATCCTTCAACATAACATAACCAGTTAGCTGCCACCCCCTTCCCCTCTTTGAGTCACATTCAGTCAAGAAATGTGTCTCATCTTGACATTTTTGAGCTGTCCTTAGGCTTCCTTCTCTTACCCTACAGTCAAATCCAAAGAATCACTTGACTAGTTATAAGTTCCAGAGAAGAGCCATGTTAGTTTGCTGTAACAAAAGCACCTAGCAGTCCTGTAGTACCTTAAAAGAACTTACACATTTATTAAGAGGAATATGTTTTTGTGGATTAGGTTTCAGTTCATCAGATGATCAAAGTTTATGCCATAATAAACCAGTTAGTCTTTAAGGTGCTATAAAACTCTATGTTGTAAGCTACTTATATGTTCCCAAGGGGGGATTTGCAATTGTATTTGCTAAACAGCCGTTCTCCGTGTTACTTTGGAAATGGTTTTGGAAAGTGAGGCATCTTTCAGAAGCAGTTTGCAATATAGCATGAAGGCATAAAAAAGTCAAGAACCCATTGGGCATGCCTCAGTTCTTGGGTGGAGGCTGTCTTTTTCCAACACAAAACATAATCATACATAACACTGTCCAATAAGTTATGATTTACAGTGTATAGATGATAGTAATGAGTGCATTATTTTGCTTCTCACTATCTGTCCCCCCTCTCGCCCCATATAGGTAGCTTGAATGCACCAGGGAGTTATACTAAATGGGATTATTCCCAGCTGGAGCCAGAGCGATCCAGAAGAGAAGATTTGCTGTCCGGAAAAGGAAAATTAGGGACTGGTAAGTCGAGATGAGCAAATCTTTCAATTTCAATTTCTCATTTTTCAGATATTAAGTTCAGTTCTCTGCAATTCCACATCAGTTTGCAAATTTTTAAAAAAAATCACATGAAAATTCATCAGAATGTGTGTCACTTTCTCCTAATATTTACATTTTTGTATGCAATTTTATTTATTTAGTTTCAACTTTCTGTTTAAGGATGCTTTAAAAAGGGCATTTTGGGTGTGGGGGGAAGGGTGCCTTTTGGTTGCTTGTTTTTTAATAATGTATTGACAACTGGGAGAAATTGATAAGTCATATAGAATAACTGGAAGCTGTAAGAAAGACATGTAACAATGCCCAGTGTGGGAGTGCCTCTTAATCTTTGGCGTCTTTTACAGATGTTGCCAGTATGTGTTTCATTGTTGTTGATGATGATAATGATGATGATGATGATGATATCCTGCTATTTCTCCAAGGAATTCAAGGCAGCACACAGGGTTTTTGTGCTCCCTCTTATTTTCTCATATCAATCCTGTGAACTAGGTTCGGCAGAGAAGCCGTCATTGGTCCAAGGTTTTTCTTATGCCTGAGTGAAGATTTGAGTCTGGATCATCCTAGTCCAGCACACTAAGCCAGTGGTGGGGAATGTCTGGCCTGTGGTCCTAATTAGGAAGTGCCTGCCAATTTGGGAACTTCCTACTCTAGTTGGGGAAAACGGGTTGGATTCAAAATGGAGCATTTGCAAGGGATAAAATTCTGCAGTTTCATACTTGGAGAAGGCAGTTTGAATGCATATATTTGCACATGTATGTGATCCTATTGTGCATTTCCAATCTCTTAACCATTTCTGCACCAGCACAGATTGTGGTGCCATGGAGTCACTATAGTGGGTAAGCGTAGTTTTGTAAAGAACCTTTCTTGGGTTTTTTCTGTTTTCTGTTTTCTGTTAAAATGGCTTTTAAGAGGGTTTTCCTCTCCTTAGGTTCATTATTGTGGGATGTATTCCAGTGCTGGGCAAGCAGAATACCGCTTGCACAGTGGGAATTTCGTTTCACCTGTGCACTCTGCAGATCTGCTTTGGAGGGTCTCACAATGTTCGGGAGCTGATTTTGAGCAGGGCGGGCTGGAGGGCATAGGAGAAAAAGTTCCATTGTGTTCATGTATCTCTGCTACTTGAGTAGGGCTGTAGTATTGGATACAGCCCTGTGTAATCAACATTTCAGGAGGTCTGATATAGTATATTTGTGGTGTAGGAGGAGATTCAGTTCCAGGTACAATAGATCAGAGGACTGTCTTTCGTAGGAGCTGACATCCAGCTGTGAAGGGAGCACTGCCTTTATCCTCTTCCCTATTTTGATGGGATTTACCCCCTTGGATCAGCAAAATATTCAAGTGTTCATGATTGTTCAGCTCGTACCTGGCTGGTTTAGAACCATTTGGGGTCAACTTCCATACGAGCCTCATAACTGATGGTGTAGGAAGGAAGATGGCTGTGTACTGGCTGGGGTAGAGCATAGCCTTCCATAAGAAGAATCCTCATCATTTCAATAGGATTCTGAGAAATCCCCCAAAGAATCAAACTGCATATGCAAGAAGTATAAAGTGTGCATTGTGGACAGTGTGTTCTGTGTCCCAGGCAGAGAGAGAAATTCCCTATTCACCTAATCATAGGTAATAAGGAAATAAATTATAATAAGCAACTTTGATTTCCACAGGCTGTGATATTTCCTTTAGCAACTATGCATTACCTGGTACTACACGGAAGCACCCATTGACACTCCGAAAGGTAATAGGTTATTTCATTTGCAAGCAACAGTATAGGGACTGTTAATACGGGCAAAGTGTTCTAAAGATAGATGAAAGATTATACCAGAGCAGGTGGAGGATCAACTCATAGAATCATAGAATTGTACAGCTGGAAGTGACTACAAGGATCATCTAGTCCAGGGGTTGGCAACCCGCGGCTCCAGAGCCGCATGTGGCTCTTTTACACCTTTGCCGCAGCTCCGGGGCGGATACTAGCGAGGGGAGGAGGCGCATTGTGCGCCCCGACACTCCCCACTGTGGCGGGCGCTGTACTGGCTGTGACGTCGCATGGGGGCGGTGCGTGCGTTAGTCACGCACCGTCCCGACGTCACCTTCCCGCCCGCCCGCTACATTGTAAGGGGCATGTACGCTGGTCACTGCATTGAAAGGGGGCATGTACTCTGGTCACTGTTTTGAAGGGGAGTGAAGAACACACACACACAAAAAGGCAACTTGTTAATTTAATGTTTATTTCTATGAGGAGGAGTAATTCTGAGGTGTCAGACAAAGAAATAATAAAAAAGTGACAAAAAAGTTATTTTTATAATGACGAGTTTTGCGGCTCCCAGTTTTTTTTTCTTTGGAAACGGGTCCAAGTGGCTCTTTTTGTCTCAAAGGTTGCAGACCCCTGATCTAGTCCAACAGGAATCTTGCCCTACTTGGGCTTGAACCCACGACCTTGAGATTAAGAGTCTGGTGCTCCTATCGATCGAGGCATTTGCTCATATGACTTAAGGTCTATAAGCCCCATGGTACAATGATTTTAAGAAAATAGTACCAGTAACTCTTCCCAATGCTGTGTTGCATTTGGTAAATAAGAGTGAGCGCTGATCTATTAAAAAGAAATGAAAAATGCTACCTGAATAATGTCCTTTCCTCCTTTTTAAAATCTCCAAACTTACTCCTCCCCACCCAAATTTAATATGTAAAAACATAAATGTGGTATGAATTTTTTCTTCCTCTCTTGTGATCTAGAAGCATACAGCCATTAAAAAAGTCAAGAAGTCTGTCTCCAGGAAAAAAATTCAAAAGCAGTTTCCTTTGGAAGGTAATACCGTGAAAAATTTGATAAATGTATGCAAGATCTGTTGTAAACATTAGAGTCCTCCATTACGCTAACAGCATGGATGTGGCATGCTTTTTCCAAGTGAGTGTATGGAAGCGTGTGTTGTCATGACTCACAAGTAAGAGATGTAGATGAATTACAGTGGTACTTCAGGTTACATATGCTTCAGGTTACAGACTCGGCAAGAAGCCAAGTTACAGAGAACCAGGCAGGGGGCCTTCTCGGCAGTGGCACCCACCCTGTGGAACGCCCTCCCACCAGATGTCAAAGAGAAAAACAACTACAGTAGTACCTTGGGTTAAGAACTTAATTCGTTCTGGAGGTCCGTTCTTAACCTGAAACTGTTCTTAACCTGAGGTACCACTTTAGCTGATGGGGCCTCCCACTGCTACTGCACCGCCGCTGCGCAATTTCTGTTCTCATCCTGAAGCAAAGTTCTTAACCCGAGGTACTATTTCTGGGTTAGCGGAGGTACCACTGTACCAAACTTTTAGAAGACATCTGAAGGCAGCCCTGTTTAGGGAAGTTTTTAATGTTTAATAGGTTATTGTATTTTAATATTCTGTTGGAAGCTGCCCAGAGTGGCTGGGGAAACCCAGCCAGATGGGCGGGGTATAAATTATTATTATTATTATTATTATTATTATAAATCTCTCCTTTGGGTAAAGCATGGAATGTTCTCTCATTTCTTCATATATTACGTGTATGGGCTCCCAGTAAAACGAGGCTGCATTTTAAGCTGTATTTTAATCAACGGGTTTTTTAAAAATGTTTTTATTGTATTTTATATTTAGTGTTAGCTACCCTGAGACCGGTCTTGGCCGGGGAGGGCGGGGGTATAAATAAAAAGTTGTTGTTGTTGTTGTTAGTCATTCTTTTTAAATTAAGAGACAGCTTACATAACAACTGAGAAGCTTTTTCTCCCTCCCCCAACTCCTAGAAAAAATGAGTCTATATTTTCACTCTTTGAGGACTACAGAGGATGATGAGCAGCATTCATCACAGAAGCATCAACGTTCATCAAAAAAGAAACTGAAGATTGCTTTGCTTCCTCGAGAGGTAATGTAATTCATGTAGAGGGGACATTTTAAAATAGCACAATTACTTGAGGATAAGATAGTAACATATCCCTACTGCTTATACAGATGTCCTTTGAATTCAATACAGAAAAGAAAGTTTATTCAGCTATTATTATTATTATTATTATTATTATTATTATTATTATTATTATTTTATTATATTTATACCCCGCCCTCCCCGGTCAGGACCTGGCTCAGGGCGGCTAACATCAGAATAAGTTCCTGGTCTCTTGTGACAGAGCATTCCACCAGGCTGGGGCTAGTGCCGAAAAGGCTGTGGCTCTGGTCGAAGGCAGTCTAACCTCCTTGAGGCCTGGGACCTCCAAGGTGTTATTATTTACATAAGGTCCTCTGCGGGGCATACTAGGAGAGGCGGTCCCGTAAGTACGAGGGTCCTAGGCCGTATAGAGTTTTGAAGGTTAAAACCAGCACCTTAAAGGATACAAGCTTAATGAGGATGATTATTTTGAGAGACACAAAAATCAGGAGTGAAACAGAAAAGAAGCATCTTGAATGAGCAGTTATGTCAATCAGAGAGCAATCCCAGATTATCTGTGAGCTGATTCACACTTGAAAACTACCCACATGGAAGTATAAGGGGCCACAGCCAGGCTGACCACAAGGCATCACTCATGCAGAAAGACTGTGTAACCTCCAGAAGGGCAAGTTTAAAAAAATGCTAGCGGAATCACAGAAAACATGAATCCATGCACATACATGCCATTCATGCAAAAAGCATCTGCAAGCCCTGCTCAGCCCTGAGACAACCCTTCCCATTATTGAGGGGCTCACATTAGGATATTGAATATAGCAAGTTGTACAGGTGAGGTTGCTACATTATTGTGCCAATAAACAATCTGTAGGAAATCAAAGATCAGGGATACAATAATGTATCTTCTAGATCTAGAAGAATGATGTATATTTGTAAAACAATTGACATTCAAAAGATATTTCCAATCTTTCCAATCTTCTTGTGAAAATGGGATGCAACAATTCAAGGTTTCTGACCTGAAATGCAACATAAACGTGAAATTTTACTGCTTTTGATTTGTTACGTCCCCTGATAGGTTAAAGGAACAAATGCATCTACATAAAGTATACTGAATTCTGTTGCATGTAAAGTGAAATAGAATGAATAGCTGCCAGCTATTACCAAATGTTGAATGCTACATGCCTTTTGCCATCAAATGTTAAACAGCTGCTGCAAAATTATTGGATGTCAAATTATTGGATTCAAAATGATTGAATATCAAATGGTAGCTGGGGAATGTTTGGAGAATGTTCTCCATCAAAATTCAGGAAGACTTTGAGAAGCTATTAACAAGGTGTTAGCAGTGGTTGTTGCGGACAGTTTGAATGTATTATCAAAGTTCTGTGATCATTCACTCTGGATGGAAATAATTACAGTTGTAAGATGCTACTACATCCACAAATCTGAGTGTGATAGAAGTAACCACTGTCCTCATTTATCTTCTAGTCACACCCAGCCAGTTCTGGTCCTGAGTACACCTGGCACCACCTGAATATTCATGGTCACTGCCCACTAATTCAGCACTTTCTTCAGAAGCGGAATGCTGTATCAAAGGCAGGATGTGACATATTTTTAAGCAGGAGGGCAATCTGCAAGCCAATACCATATCCTTATGATCTGTTCAAGGGAAACGAGGATGGGAAATTCTTTTATATAGCTACGTTTTTGTTCATGATTCACCAATTCAGAATTACTTACGTACAGTGCATTATGCAGTATGTTGATGAGTTCATAGCTTATTATTAGGACAATAGAGCATTAGGGTTGTTGTTGTTTTAAAAAATGTCCACACTTAACAGTTCAAACTAAGCCACATCAAAGAGTCCCGGGTGTCAAGGGGTGTAGTGTTAATTTAAATATACAAAAGTAATTTTTGACTATGTTCTGAGAACCATGCAGTTCCTCTGAACCTCTGTCAAGAATTCTTGAATGAGATGATCATGAGGGAAGACAAACTTGAATAACAGTTTGCTCTTTGTTCCTGATCTTTCTGTGAAATAATGCAGAACAGTAGTGAAATACTGGATGTGCTCTCAGTATCTGACGGGTTAGGCCAGATAAGCATAGCTGAAACCTTGTGCCCTAAATCAATTCTTAGATGCAGGGAAGGATCTGTCAATTTTGGTTCTCTCAGTTTCTCATTTTTCGAACATTAAATTCAGTTCCCAGCATTTCTGCAGGAATTTGTAATTTTTTACAAAAATCCTTATGAGAATTATTTCGCAATTTATTGTGAATTTGTCCTAATAAATACCTTTTCCGTGTAATTTTGACTATTGTGCACATTTTTGCAAGCAATTTCTCCTAAAGCATTTTTGTGTTATTTTCACTAATATGTTCATTTTAATGCACATTTTGACGTAATATATGCATTTTCGTAAACAGGTGACTTGGTTGGAGAACTGCATTGTAAAATTGGATAAGTGCTAATTCTGAAAGATGGCTGTGTTCTTGTCTCATAGTGTTTCAACAAGCGCAAATTTGATAAGAGTCACCTTTAAATGCAAGCCTGAATCACATTTCTCTCCCATTCCCCCTTGGGAGACAATTCAGTGTAGAAAGGGTTCCCTGAAAGTAGGATGTTTAAAAAACACGTTGTTGTTGTTAGTGGTAGTAGTAGTAGTAGTTTTTCCCAGTCTGGGAAAAAGTCCCCACTCAAGGGGACTTACACAGATAAAATAGAACAAATTAAAAATATAGGAAAGTCAACCATTAAAATGTAATTAAAGCAAACATAAAATAGTTCTGCTTCTTAAAGGACAGCAATTTTGTCAGCAGAGACAGAAAAAGCACAGCTAGAGAATGATTTAGGAGCTGATTTTAATACATTATAGTTGAAGATGTAACAACTCTGTCTGCAAACTAGTTCCCTATATGGAAGACATGTTCACACTCCCAATATTTTTTTTGTCTTTTATGATTAAGTAACCAACCTGTGCTGCAGAAGCATCAAACTTAAGTTTTGAATTCTGAATTATAAAGCAGTTTATCATTTACTAGGGCTGGGGACTTCTGGATTATAAAGAGCACAAAAGGAACACATGTGTATACCTTTTAGTTTAGGAGTTTCACTGGGTTGCAGCCATTGACTTTCATTGGCCATTTCATGATCCAGTCAAGCCAAATTGCATGCCCAGAAACACACATGGGGCTGTTTCTACCACTGTAATGCAGAAGGTAGGAGGGCATGCAGTTCTTGACTCTGTATTTGTGGTCTTGGGCTCTTATAAAATCCTACTCTGAACCTTCAGTCTACTTTAGACTCATATTTAAAGATAATGGCCCTTATCCAGCTCAGTTATGCATGCTTAAGCCCATTTATTTCAATATATTTACATCTGTGTAGTTGAAATATTTATACCCTGCCTACTAACCAAAGTCCTTGGGAGAGTGTACAATATTGCTAAAATGCTGTACAAAAACAATTTGGATATTAGAGTCCCACTCACGGGGCAGGGCTTACTCACCCTGGCTGATTTTGATATCTACTTGGTTCCTTGGTAGATGCAAGAATTACAGGTGAGGCAAAGGCCTCCCTCACCTTCCAGTCTTCGGATGCCCCAAAGCGGATGAATTTCTGCATCGCACAACAGGTCTTGGAGGAAATAACCCTGGCCTGGAAATGGCTGCTTAAGTAGCCAGATGTTAAGGGTCCTTTGCAGATTGGTGCTTCCTCCCCCAAGCTGCTACTGATGTCCATCTCAACTGGTGGCTGATGTAGTAGTACAGTATATATATAACAGATTTCTGAAAAATAGTTTTGCATTATCCATAGAGTTGCCATTGACTGAGTTTTATTCCCAGATCATTACAGAATATGCTTCCCCTCACCCCACCCCACCCCCAAAAAAGTTCAGTACATGTTCTCTTTGGTATGCTTGATGTAAGCAGTTGGATTAGAATTTTCCTTTACTTCTGAAATCACGGATTCTGCCCAGACATATGCAGAAGTGATCAAGCAAAGTTTTCAAAGCCTCCGCCAGAGGCACAAAGATTTCATGAAGACTTATCGGAGACACCGGAGAGAAATGAGGAAATTTGATCAACTGAGCAAGTATAACCTGTTGGTTTTCAGGTATTTAAAGAGCTTGTTAAGTACAGCTTTATACATTACAATCTCAACATGAAGGAGGCTGGACTGTCTAAGGGCCTTTCCACGATCAGCTGTATGCATAGCCAATGCATGGTTGCTGTTTTTTCTAACACTAAGAACTGTCATGACAGTTCAGATAGCTTAGAATTGTAGCATTGGAAGGGACCCGAAGGATCATCTGGTCCAACTCCCTGCAATGCAGAAATCTCAACTAAATTATCCATGATAGATGGCCATTAAACCTCTGCTTAAAAACCTCGTTAAGGATAGTCCACGGCTTCCCGAGGGAGATCATTCCAATGTTGAACAGCTCTTATTATCAGAAAGTTCTTCCTGCTGTTTAATCAGAAACTCCTTTCTTGTTTTAGACATCCTTGTATTTTTGCTATCTTGCCTTATACTGTAGTGTACAGTTAAACTTGTGCATTTACTGTACCAGTCCACATACTGCCTCTCAGTTTTGTACTTCTATTGCATGGACTTGTCATTTTCCCAGCATTTAAAATTAAATGTTTTACTTGTGATAATCCCTCATGAGCAGAACAACTCTCCCTGCACAATTGCATTAACTTTTTTAAAAAATTGAAGTCATGTGCTTTCCCTGTTTATGATGGAGGGCTCATTTAGGCATATTTAAGGATAAACTTCAGCAAGACTATGTCCCTCTCAGCGTGGTTGTCTGTCCTTGTGTTTTACTCATGATGTGCAGATGCCTTATAAAAAATGAGTAATCAGAGTGTGGCTATTTCACAGTAAATGACCATTGTGAAAGTAGCCCTAATTTTCTGCAATGTATTGCAAGGTTTCTCTTCACCTTCCTTAAATTTAATGGCTTTTTCTTTAAATTAATTTCAAGCATAATTAATTACACTTTTTCCCTTGTCACCATAGGCAAGAGATGCTGGAAGAGATGAAAAAGCAGGCCCAAAAGCAGAAAGAGCTGTTTTCTTGCCCAGAGGGACTGAGTTCTTCAGACAAGTTTATATGCCGCACCCCAAAAGTCACGTTCAACTGACTGACTTGTTAACTTACACGTGGCCCTAGCAATAAATTTAGTTTTCTCTTTTTGAAATGAATGAGACTTAAGTTCAAATTGAATCTATTTGGGAGAAGCTCTTCTATAAACATTGTTACTATCTGCTTTATAAAAAGAATGTTTAAAGGAAATTAACCTAGATTTGCTGCAAAGAGATGTACAAAAGCATTTCTGATTAGAAGCAATTGTGTATTACTGCATTACAGGAGTATGGTGAGCACTGGTTGAGAGGGAGTTTCCTTCCATTAATTCAGGCATGTCATTTATGTTGAAATCTTTTAAGAGGGGGGTTCTCATTTTTATACCACTGTTTGGCCGTGTCCATTTCAATAATATATTGACTATGAATGGGACTTAAAAACAAGGCTCAGATATATCCTAGGCTAGACAGACTAAGTATAAAGCAGGGGTGTGGATTTTGGGACTCTCCATATGTTGCTAGATTACACCTGTCATCATCTCTGATCATTAGCCACACCAGCTGGGGTTTATGGAAACTGGAATCCAGCAACCTCAGAAGAATCACAGGTTACCCATGCCTGGTTTAGAGGCACCTGGAACTGTCTTTAGAAATTTTATTTTTGCTGCCTAGATCTCTATACATCTTCTAGATCTTAGCATACCTTACTTGGAAAGCTATATTTAAGCATATGTGTTTTCTCTTCACCTTATTTTCTGTTTTCATGAAAATCAAATTGTAATATTTACCTTTAAGGGGCAGCATTTAGAGATGTTACAAATCCAAACCTACAGTCCATTGCTTTTGAAAATCTACCATTATGCGCTGAAATAATGGCTTTTTGCAATATCCATATATTTAATACAACTCAGTCATTTACATTATTTCAACAGTGCATTACAACTGTCAGTACATATTTCATGCAGTTATTTTGAACACAATGCAGAGAAACACTAATTTAGTACACTTCAAAGGTCTGAACTTGTGTTTGACAATATTTGATTAAAATCAGAATTGACTACCTTTTTCAATGATTTCAAAGGCTCCTTAATCAATGCTGTGACACAAGGCAGTATGATCTTTCTCTACTTCACATGTTACCCTGCAGCCCAGTGAACTGAATGTGCTGGTCTTCAGTGTTGGTGGTCTCAGGGATGCAGCATTTAGTATTTTATGCCCATAAAAGTACTGTGATAAATCTATGGAGTACCTGTGTTTCATTATTACAAATCTATGAAGAATATATCAAATTTAGTTTCCCTGAGACATAGTGATCTGGGGAAACAATTGTAACAGGACATCAGTTCTATCTAGCCCAAGTTTACCTTTTCACATTTTATAATCCCAGCAATAAAAGGAGGAGTTAGAGGATTACATGAGCAATCCTACTGAAATTCTTTTTTCTTTCTTTTTTTTACTATTAGTTTGCAAAAAACATGCCCAAGTTAACATTTTCTGTCCTTGGAAGAAGAAATCTTTTGGTGTAGTGGTCTTATATAAAATACCCAGACATGTAGCAATGTCCATAAAAACATCACTTGCCAACTTCTTAACTCTGAACCAAAAAAGGCAATTGTGGTCAAGCTGAGAAATCCTGGCAATTAGCCATTTCTTACAGACATTCTGACACAATTTCTTTTAGTTCTGTACCAGGGAAGTAGATACTGGTCTGATCCAGTTTGCCAGATTTCGTGCTGTTTTGCATGGACTGAGAAGAAGGTGCCCATCTCCAAATATTTGAAGTTACAACTGCCAATCCTCTTGCAATAGCCACGTTCAACAGTGCGAACTGGAGAGTAAGGCTATGTTTGTACTCCTGCATTTCTGAACCATAGATTTAAGTACTGGGATATAGTCAAGGTGCATATGAAATAGTTTTAAAATTGTGTCTCTAAGCATGTACAGAATACCTTTCCCTCATCACTGAAAAGAATCACATCCCATCAATCCCAATGAATTTGAGCAAAGAGCTGGCCCCTCTATTTTTAGTAAATAAGTACTGTTCTGTCCCATAATAAAGTTTCCACTGGGAGTGTGAATGGTGACAGTGGCCATATATGGCTCCCATATGTGAGCAAACATGTTAAACGTCTTGTACATGTCCCATAAGAAGTACTATGAATCTGTTTGTCCTTTAACATCACCTATGAAGCTGCTGCTCCATATCCCCTTGCAGTCTGATGTGTGACAGAAGGATACAGTGAATGGGCCCTTTTCTGTAGTGGTGTCTAGTAGACAACATTTCTCAACCAGTTAGCCTGGCCCAATTACTGCTCATTTTCTGGCTACTGGCCAACACTCTCGGTTGGCAGGCTTTTAAAAGTATGATTTTTATTAACATGATGCTGAAGTTGTTTGTGCTGATGGTGTATTTTACTGGTAGTTTTGATGTGTGCTTTGTTTTGATCGTATTTTAGTTACTGTTTTAACTTATCGTTTGCTGCCCTGTTCCCAAAAGGTAGCATATAAATGTTGAAAGTAAATAAAATGCTTTCAGATTCTGTGTTTATATGATTCTAAGCGGCCTAATCCTTTCTGTGCTGCCTTTTCCCTTTCTAAGAATTTTAAGAATTTTAAAGGATATGTAGCAGAATCTCTCTCTCTCTCCAGACTTGCCATGTACCAAATTCATACCAAATTCAAAATGTAAGATAAGAATTCATGGGCCTGATCCTCTTTGCAAATGGTAGAGGCCAAATTCTAATTACTCTGGTATAGCCAGACAGAAGCCTGCAAGTGTGAACATGTTCCCAAAGCATGGCCCAATAGCACAACCAACTGGTGCATTCATACATTTGTCTCTTTGATACGTTCTTACATAGGTTTGCTTTGTTTCCTGAGAATGTGTTTGATTTGTTTGCTTCTCCTAATCCATGTACAGTTAAAGATTGCAATAAAAAAAACCCCTGCTAATCTTTGTTGGCTTTCCTCATTGCTCTCTCCTCCATCCAGCTCCCTCACTCTTTAATGTCCCTACTCATTGCTGGGCTGTGAACCAGTCAGGATCTCAACATTACAGGCCATTTTTCTTTTAAGATATATCTCTCCCCCCCCTTTTGGACTGGTTGATGGCTGCACTGAACATGATTTAAACCAGGCATAGGCAAACTCAGCCCTCCAGATGTTTTGGGACTACAACTCCCATCATCCCTGACCACTGGACCTGTTAGCTAGGGATTATGGGAGTTGTAGTCCCAAAACATCTGGAGGGCCGAGTTTGCCTATGCCTGATTTAAACCCATACTTAGACTTGCAGGTACTGTTCTTGGGTGAGACTGAGGGGTGGCCTGGGCACTTAATACATAGTGAGAAGGAGGCTCGGTGTAGTTGGACAGGATATCTGGTAGTTTTCTGGATATCTGCCTCCTCGGGTTCTCTGGAGAAAATACATAAAATACATAAAAACTGAGGCCAAGGGGACTTCCGGTTCAGCGCGAGTCCGACTCAGGCGGGGATTTCTTCACAGCGGAGAATCCCGAGCTTCTCGGAGGGAAATAGGGGTCTCCGCAGGGCGCAGCGGTCCCCTGAAAAGTATCTGGAGGGCGTGCAGATACACCGGTTCCCGCGGAGCCGAATCGCGAGCCTCCCGGCCGTCAGGTAACTCCGTTTTTCGGAGCGAGGAGTACGGCGGGGGGGGAAGCGGGCTGAGGGAAGCCATAGCTACCTCCGGGAAAGCGAAGCCCCGAGCCTGAAGGAAAAGCGCTGGATTCTCAGAAAAAAGTCAATTCGAGCCTAAACAAGGAGGTCACAAATTTTGATTCGATCCAAAAATAATTCGAACTATAAGGAAGCTAAAAAGAGCGCAACTTTATGTCTGGAATCATGGCGGACGCAGAGATCTAAGCAAAGCGGAGAAAAACGTAAGTGTCGCTAGCGGTCAAACTTCTCTCCCCTCGGAAACTTTCTGGAATGCCTGAAACTAAGTAACAGCGATAAAGGAAAGTAGAGGGGAGCAAAAAGAAACTTTATTGCTAATAGCCTGCAGAGGTCTTTGACTCTCCAGCCCTTACTATAAACACAAAGAGGGGCAAGAAAGATTGGCAGTTTTGCGCAAAGAAGGAACATATTGCCTCAGAGACTCCTCTATTTTAGAGCCTCCATTGTTCACTTCGGCGGCTGCACGTAAGAAAGGGGGAAGTAGGAGAGAGAGGACGCCTGCCCGCCACTCGATTACTACCAAATTTAAACCTAAGGCTTTTATGAACATTTGAATATTGAAAGGATAAACTGCCGGCATTCAGAGAGACTACAATTCAGAAGTGGGGAATTTTCTTTTTTTTTCCCTCCCCCTTTGGCTTTTCTCTTTTTTCTTGTGCTCCTCTCTCACCGGCTTTGCTATAGCCCCGGTGGCAAGAGGAGAAATTACAACTTGTCTTCCCATCTGGTTTTTTTTTCTTCTGTTTCCTCTCACTCGCCTTTTCTGGCTGTTTGAGGTTGGTAGCCTTCCCTGGGCTGATCAGCGGTGGGGAGAACCCGGGACGCTGAGAGGGAATCCTCTCGAGAGTTCCTTTATTAGACTACAACTTGCGAAATACCCCGACGGGTCTGAGAATTCATGGGATTTAGCCCAATTGAGGGCAAGAAGATGAAGGAACTTTAATGGGCAGATATGCAGACATACACAATGATATGGATTAGCCTAAGCGGTGGCAAGAAGACCCAAGAATAAAGTCTGCTTGATCTTATTTCTTCTTTTCTTTTTCTTTTTTATTGTGGGTTTTTGGACGTGGAATCTAACTAAGAACACTAACATCCGGTGGATTAGCCTAATTGGTGGCAAGAAGAAGGGACATTGCTTATGGAGACTGACTATTAAATTTAACCATATTAGGACTAAAAGCAGCCCTACAAATATTTTGTACAAAAGGGGCAGCCGAGATTGTAATAGGGGTAGACTATTTGATAATCCTTCTCTGCCCCCTCTTTTTCTTTCCTTGTCATTACTGAAGGTGGGACAAATATTTGGGCTGCGTTGGGAAAGGGATCCAAATTTAATTAAATTGTATGAAATGTCGCATACTCAGAAAAAAAGTGGGGAGGGGGGAACCCCGGGAGAAAGAAAGAGCTCGAAACAGGATTCAGATTTCAGAGCTGAAATTCTAAAAATGTTTGGGGAAATTAGGCAGAGCGAAAAGAACCTAGAAACAAAAATGGAACAAATGGATGCAAAGATTGGGAAATTAGATAAGAAAATGGATGAGACGGTGAACGAACTGAAAGGACAAATTAAAGAAGTGTCAAAGAGAACCCACGTATTAGAAGAAGGAATGAAGAAGACTAAAACAGAAATGAGGGAACTGAAACGGGAAGAAGACAAACTTAGGGCGGGGTTCTTGGAAGTTAACAAATCGCAGGAAGAAATGTGGGATGCCATCTCCATGAATGAACTTCGACAACGGGAATTGAACCTAAGGTTGAGAGGGATACCAGAAACCCACAACGAGAATATCAGACAAAAAATAATTACGGAATTGGCGCAATGGTTGGAGCTCCAAGAAATGGAAGTGGCGAACTCAATACAGAATGCCTTCAGAATGAAGGTAAAAACCATTAAAGCAAAGAAATACCCTGGAGATTGTCTGATAACATTCAAAGACAGAGATATGAGAAATTTGGTTCTGCAAAAAAATAGGGAAAAGAGACTGTCTATTGATGGTTGCTACACAATCATCTTTAAAGATATACCAATCAGATTGTTGAAGAGGAGAGACCCCTACAAACTATTGGTACAATTGCTTAAAAAGAATAACATAGAATTCAAATGGGAATTCCCGGAGGGGATTTCCTTCTTTTACAAGAACAAAAGACATCGACTGACCAGCCCGGGGGAAATAGGCAAGTTTCAGAGAAAATACAAAGAACTGACAGCGGAGGAAGAGGAAGAAGTGAGGGGAGCAACAGGAAGTGGGGAGGAAAGGACGAAAAGCGGAAGACAATTGGATGAGGAGGAGGAGGAGGAGGAGGAGGAAGAGGAGGAAGAGGAAGAAAGATTGTAATAGCTTAGAAAAGGTTTTGGACCAAATTGTCTAACTGGGAATATCATGGCTTTAAATATTTGGAACTGGAACGTGAACGGACTGAACGAAAAGAAGAAACGAAATAACGTGGAACAAGCTCTAAAAAGGAAGAACTTAGATATAATTTGTATGCAGGAGACACATGTTGCAAAGAGACACAGAAGAATTTTGATCAATAAGAGACTTGGAAATGAATTCATATCCTCAGATAAGGAGAAAAAGAGGGGCGTGATATTGTATGTAAAGAGTAAGATCGAAGCCCAGCAAATTTTTAAGGACGAGGAAGGAAGAATTATTGCAATCCAAATTATATGGCAAGGCGAGAAATTAATAATAGTCGGGATCTACGCACCTAATGGAAATAAATCTGACTTCTTTAAGAATCTGGAGGAAAAGCTGTTGGAGTACGCGGACCAGAAGATAATCTTGATGGGGGATATGAATGGGGTGGTGTCATCAGAAATGGACAGATTGAGAAATAATGGGTCGAAAGAAGGGAAATTACCAAAAACTTTCTTTGAAATGGTCAAAAATTGCAATTTAGTGGACACCTGGAGACTAAGACACCCCTTAGAAAAGCAGTTTACCTTCTATTCAGAACCGAATCAGTCAATGTCGAGAATCGACCAAATTTGGACTTCAAACGAACTAACGCCAAGAATTCTAAAAGTGGAAATCCAACCGAGAGTTATCTCAGATCATAGTCCCATTAAACTGGAACTTAAAGGCTTTGAAGAAAGAACATTCAGATGGAGAATGAATGATTATCTTCTGGATGACCAAAGGGTCATACAGGAGGCACAGAAGAAACTGAAAGATTACTTCGAAGACAACTGCAACAAAGGAACGAAAATGTGTACAGTTTGGGATGCAGGCAAGGCGGTAATGAGGGGTTTCTTCATACAGCAGAATTCGCTCAAAAAGAAAAATAGAGAGAAAGAAAAGAAAGGAATTTTAAGACAAATTATGGAAAATGAACAAAAGTTAATTAAGAAACCAAACAATGATAGAATTAAGCAAAGCATTAAGGTACTCCAATCCCAATTTGCAATGATGATTAACAAAGAGGTGGAATGGAATATTAAAAAATTGAAACAAAAGAATTTCGAATTTGCAAACAAATCAGGAAAATGGCTTGCCTGGCAGACCAAGAAGAGGAAAGAGCAAAATACAATTAACAAAATAGAAGTGGGAGGAGAAGAGATAACTAACCCCAAAGATATTAGGAAAGGATTCTTGGACTTTTATAGACAGCTGTATAAAAGAAAAGAGAAGAATAACAGGAGGAAGATAGAGAGATACCTAAAAGAGAAAGAGGTGCAAAAGATCCCGACAGAAGCTCAGGAAGGGCTGAATACCCCAATTGATTTAGCAGAAATAAAGATGGCAATAAAGAAAATGAAAAATGGGAAAGCCCCAGGACCGGATGGGTTTACATCAAGATATTACAAAGAACTGGAAACAACCCTGTCGTTGCCATTGAGAGAGGTAATGAACAATATACTAAAGGAGAGAGAAATCCCAGGGACGTGGAAGGAAGCATTTATAACCCTTATCCCTAAAGAAGAGGCGAACTTAACCCAAGTTAAAAATTATCGACCAATCTCATTATTAAATACGGATTATAAAATTTTCGCCGGAATAATTGCAGATAGACTGAAAAAGGTTCTACAAGAAATTATCCATGAAGACCAAGCAGGCTTCCTTCCGGGCAGGCAGATGAGAGACAATGCAAGAAATGTAATAAATATTTTAGAATATCTGACTGCCAGGAACGAGAGGGAGGCAATGCTGATGTTCGTGGATGCCGAAAAAGCGTTTGATAACGTATCATGGGATTTTATGTTAGAAAACATTGAACAGAGGGATATGGGGAATGACTTTTTCAATGGGATAAAGGCAATATACACGGAGCAAAAAGCAAAGTTAATAGTAAATAATGTGATCTCGGAAGAAATACAGATCTCCAAGGGTACGAGGCAGGGTTGCCCACTGTCACCACTTTTATTCATCATGGTTCTTGAGGTACTATTGGATTCAATCAGGAAAAAGGAAAGTATAAAGGGGGTGGCAGTAGGCCGAAATCAATATAAAGTTAAAGCCTTTGCCGACGATTTAGTATTGATGGCGGAGGAACCGTTGGAGACCGCAACAGAGATATTGGAAGAAATCGAAAAATTTGGAGAGGTGGCTGGGTTTATTATAAATAGGGAAAAAACCAAAATTATTGCTAAGAATATGGAAAAAACAAAGATGGAAGCATTGCAACAAAAAACGGGTATAGAAATTGCAAAAAAAGTGAAATACCTGGGAATATGGCTAACCCCAAAGAACATAGATTTGTTCCAAAATAATTATGTGTTGGTGTGGAAGGGAATTAAGAAAGACTTGGAAATATGGAATAGGTTAAAACTGTCCCTCTGGGGAAGAATCTCAATGATCAAGATGTCAGTGCTACCGAAGATGATGTTTCTCTTCCAGATGATACCAATATTAAAAGGAGTGGCGATTTTCAAAGATTGGCAAAGAATGATTTCTAGATATATCTGGCAGGGCAAAAAGCCGAGAATTAAGCATAAATTACTAATTGACGTAAAAGAAAGGGGAGGTTTTGCCCTGCCAGATTTGAAGTTATACTATGAAGCAGCATGTCTTTGCTGGCTAAAAGAATGGATAAAATTAAAAAATACAAAGCTCCTAGATCTGGAAGGATTCAACACGAGGTTTGGATGGCATGCGCATCTTTGGAAAGAAAAGAAGGAAGGTTATAAATCATTTGGAAACCATATTTTTCGTAAATCGTTACTGGAAGTATGGTACAGGTACAAAAATATACTGGAAACCGGGGTTCCACATTGGTTATCCCCATTAGAAGTCATAGGTGTTAAGAAAATTAATATGAGAAATGATTGGGTTACTTATGCAGATTTGGTGGTGAAGGAAGGGGGAAAGTGGAGGTTAAAACCATATGAACAAGTAAAGGAACATGTCTATGATTGGCTACACTACCGACAAATAAATGAAATGTTTAAAAAGGAAGAGAAAGAAAAAGGCTATAAAGAAAAAGACTCAAAATTCCAATCAGAAATTGTGAATAATGATTGTAAAATAATTTCGAAAATGTATAAAATTTTATTGGAATGGCATACAATGGATGAGGAAGTAAAAGTAGTTATGATTCAGTGGGCCAAAGACCTAGGTTACAATATAGATTTGGATGACTGGCAAAAAATTTGGAATGAAAATCTGAAGTTCACGGCATGTGTTACGCTAAAAGAAAATACAATGAAGATGGTATACAGGTGGTATATGACACCAGCAAAATTGGCAAAAATGTACAAAATCTCAAATAAGTGTTGGAGGTGCAGGGAAAAAGAAGGAACATTTATGCACATGTGGTGGGAGTGTAGTAAAGTAAGGGGGTTCTGGGAGATGATATACATCGAGTTAAAGAAAATGCTAAAATATAGCTTTGTTAAGAAACCAGAGACATTTCTGCTGGGGATAACAAGAATGGATATAAGTAGGAGAGACAGGAAACTATTTCAGTATGCAATCACCGCAGCAAGGATATTGTTAGCTCAAAGGTGGAAACAAGAAGAGGTTCCGAATTTAGAGGAATGGAGGCTAAAATTAACAGATTACGCAGAACTGGACAAATTAACTGGAAAAATTAGATATCAAAAAGACCATAGATTTTTTGAAGACTGGGGAAAATTTACGGAGTATTTGGAAAGCACATGTGAGGAGGGTACAACGCTAGTGGGTTTTAAAGAAGCTTTGTGAAAACATAAGGAAATATGACCAGTAGGTAAATAAGAACAGAAATATATAATAAAATGGGAATATTGAAACAAAGGAATGCGAAGATAAGACTTGAATTACGAATGATTGTCAGAGAAGTTGTGGGAGGTCCAAATAAGACAAACTTTGTGATATGTATATGGATATGTTTGTTGTTCTTAATGGAAAACCTTAATAAAAACTTATTGAAAAAAAAAAAAAAAACTGAGGCCAAGGGGACAGGCTGTTTTCTGTCTTGGGAGCCATTTTACTGCTAGCGCCACATCCTTCAGACTGTGGCTCCAAAACCATCTGCACGCTGCCCTAGTAGGTGAAATGGAGGATATGTTCTCAGTGGCTACAAGTCACAATGGGTATATGCCGAACTTCCCGAAAGCATCAGGTTTAGTCGCTGTGAGAGACAGGATGGTGTCTAGGTCTTTAGTCCGATCCACCAGGGCTCTTCCATTGACACCGCATGGTCCCTCTAAGCACCACCAGGCTGTGCCCTTGATCTGTCAAAATGCCTGCAACTTTGCTCCAAGGTTTCCTCAGGAGATCTAGCAACCCCTGTAGATATAACATCTATATTCTTCTTCTGGTGTAAATATGGATAGGATTGAAGCATTTGTCATCTTTGAGGTGGTGGTGGTTTTTTTTAATATACATTCCCCAGCTACCCAGAGTATAGCTGGAAGCCATTTTGGCTTCATTTTTCTCCTCAGATCTGGCAGCTCTGTCTAGCAGCTTTTACACCTTTTTTCTTCCAACGCTGGAGTGTGAATCCCAGAGCATGTAGCAGAAGCAGACTTGCTTGTTTAAACCAAGTCAGCCTCAGTCATATGTTACCACAGAGGCTGGGGAAAGGTTTGATTTATTGGGCAGGAGAGGTGAGGGGGAGGTAAGAAAGGCTGAACATAAAAATTGATACATCTGAACATTTTTAAAAACTCTAACCCTATCACAATCTGAAATAATACATCATCTCTCCTTTGTAACGTCTCAGGGTTTTAGTTTGCTTTTCAGGGCATCCAGTAGGAAGTAAATGTCATGGTAAAAAGTTAGAAGCACAGGAAAAAAAAGCTCTTTCCCACCATACATTATTCTGAGCCTTCTCTGCCACTTGAATGCTTAAACTGCCCTCCTTTTTCTGGCACTTTCTTCTAGTTTTAGTATATATTTACTATCTTTCTGTCAAAGTGCTGGAGGGTCAGAAACAATAAAAAAATACGAAAAACACATGAGAAAGAGGGCCACGACCTTGCACTGGATATATTAGAAGAGTGCCACTAATTTTTACCTCAAAAAAGATACTAGTATGGGTGGATTCACATTACTGTTTCTTTCAGCATCAGGTGATTTCTTTTAGTAATGTGATGAGAACCGTATGGCACTGGAATGGTTTCAGTGATACACTGGTGAGTCATGGCGAGTGCTCTCACCTCACATACCTAAAAAAAAATACCTCACAATTAGTAAAACAGTCACCTGAGTCTGTTCCATTTTCACTTTGCGGCACTGGAACTTGAGGTAGAGAACATACAGTACTTATAGCCTCACTTCTGCCTGATACGTAGCGCCACTATCAAAAAATGAGAATGGACACAGTTGTATAATTTAAAATATATCTATTTAAACCGGTATCATGGTCAAGAAAGCTGGGAACAATGAGAAAACAATGTGCAAGTATGATGTGATCTTCAATAAATAGGCAAGATGTTATAAAAAGGAGTTACAACATGTCCATCTTTTTAATTGGATGCTTCCCATCTGTCATTACCAAGGAGCGGGTGGTTATGTTACCTCAGGAAAATATTTTTACCTTTTCCTAAAGTTATTTTGAAACATGACGATTACGAATTAGTGGTTTTTCGCTTTCTCACTGTTAAATCACTTGTCACTTCAATAGCATATTGTTGAATTGAAACTGAGTGATTGGATGGCAGATGCCATTCTTTTCTTTAAGTTGAGAGCATTCCACAGTTTTAGCATGAGAGAAGAACAGAAACTGAAGACCAATCCATATTTTTGAGGTGCTGAGGTCTATGTATGGTGACTTGTTCACCTCATTTTCATGTGAGGAGCTCTTTACAGGAGGCTCACGTGAACATTTTCAAAATTATCACAACAGAAAAGAAAAACAAAAAGCTTTCAAAATCTGTATTTTCTCTTATATGGTAAATTTGGAGATTTTTTATGTGGGAACTCTCTTACACCATAGCTTTCATTTAATATCAAATGCTCCAATGCTCCATAACGGATGTGAGTCTCACAACCCAGGCTGAATAAATTAGCCATTGCTACCTCAGTGTGATGGAAGTCTTCAAGCATGTTGGAATCAAACAACTCTCTCTTAAATCTATGATAAAACTATTCAGTACACTTAGTCCCTTCTTGGTCATGCTATATAAGTGACGAAGGCTGCCGTCTTACATGAAGTGCACACACCAGATCCATAAAAGAGTTGCATATCTTATTGCTTTATATGCTTTTACACTCTCCAATTGCTTCCTGCAGCACTGATTGAAATCTTACTATATCTTGTATTACAATGAAGTCCATGGAGGATCAAGTTGTGCAGGAAGAACCAGGATTCCAGGATGATGAGGTATAGATGCAAAGTTTGTTTTGTCTGGATTCCTCAAGAAAATTATATAAAATGGAATAAAGCATTCATTTTTTAGTAAACAAAATGGTTCATATTTGAGAAAACTTAGAAGATGTGCATACTCATATAATTTTACGGGGTGGCAACTCGAAAGGGGGCATTCTCTAAGGGCAGCCCCTAAGCTGCCCACATAGGCGCATCTGGCACCTTTATAGTATAGCTTTCATCATAAGCTGAAATGCACCTCTCTTTATCCTGGCCTTTAGCACCTGAGATGCATGTTTTAGGACCCACCCTATTCTTTTGACTGTAAATTGTTTTAACTGATTTTAATGTTGTATTTTTATATTGCCTGGGACCGTATGGTGAAGGTTGGGTAAAAAAAAGCAAATTAATTCATTACAATTAATTAATTGTCACTATTAAAGAAACCCCCAGTGCTTTTTTTCTAGAAAAATAGGTGCCGGTACTCACCATAAAGTTGTTACAGTACGTGCCATACTTTTTAACCAAAAAAGTGGTCCTGGTACTGCGTACCTTTGAGCATGGAGAAAACCCTCTAAAAGTAATCCTTGCTCTGGGATAAAATAAAGTTAGTTGGTTGACCAAAGTGAGAGATGTGTGCATAAATATCAAAATAACAAAGATTCTGGTAGCTGCCTTTGTTTTTGCATCCCTTTAGGAGTCCTTTTTCCAGGACATCGACCTGCTACAGAAGCATGGAATTGTAAGCACACTTAAAAAATGATTCTGTATCCTTATTTGCCTTTCTATTCTCTCTTTGAGCTCTGACTGCTATTATGAAGCGGGCATCACATCCTTAATTTCAAGCAAGAAAACATAAAATTTTCAGTCTTTTATAGTAATCAAGATTACTTGGACTATGTGTACACTACTGTTAAACTGAGATAAGCTGTGGTGGCCAGGTGAAAAAGACCATTGTGTCTGCTGAAATTCCTTCTTCTACAGAACTTACAAAGCTGCAAGAACTCTGTCTTTTTTTATTTTTACCTGGCCATCCTAAAGGTAATGACTAACATAAATGCAGCCTGTACCCAAAAAGATACTCAGCTGTTCCATTGCTCGTGTCATAATCTACTGCACTGGAACTGCTTTTATTACAGAGAAATTATTAAATGTCCACTACATTCAGAAAAAATACAATGAATGCTTAGAGAACTACAGGGTATAAGTACTCCTATCTGGATGTCTCCAGAAAATATAGAAATGGCACAGCTTAATATTCTTAGAAATCAGGGATTGGGGGAACCTGAGACTCTCCAGATGTTGTTGGACTTCAGTTCCCATCCATTGCTGCCAGCATGGCCAATTGATAGAGGTAATAGGAGTTGTAGTCCAGCATCATTTGGAGGGTTACAGCAGGTACAGCAAACTTGGCCCTCCAGATGTTTCAGACTACAACTTCCATCATCCCTGACCACTGGTCCTGTTAGCTAGGGATGATGGGAGTTGGTAGTCCCAAAATATCTGGAGGGCCGAGTTTGTCTATGCCTGGGTTATAGGTTCCCCATTTGTGCTATACATCATTCTTCCCTGTTGTGCAATTTTGCCTTGGATTTCCAGCTGCTTAGGAAAACAAGGAGACCCAAACAATATATAGGCGCCACATTCATTCTGCTAATTTATTTTCATAATGCTGATCCAGCCTTTCTTTCTGAAAAGGACCTGACTAAAAAACACACCACAGAGTAGAAATCAAGATACACTTACATTTATTGATTAAAATGAGATAAAAATAAATATAATTAGAAAACCTGCACCAAAAACCATTTCTAAGCCCTCCTAATTTTAGTGAGGAACAAGATTTTGGTTTATTAACCTCCCTGATGTATGTAACATCTCATGAACATCAAGAGTTCTAATCCTTTTTATGTCCTTCACAGAATGTGGCTGATATTAAAAAGCTGAAAACAGTGGGAATTTGTACAATCAAAGGAATTCAGATGACAACTAGGCGGGCACTATGCAATGTTAAGGGACTCTCAGAAGCCAAAGTGGAGAAGATAAAAGAGGCAGCCAACAAACTTATAGTAAGCAAACACTAGCACTCCATCCATTTCTCACTGGTAGCATAAGATGGAATATAATCATGACTGCTTTATTTAAACCCTCATATTAAATATTTATACCAGTTAATGTGCCTGGCAAGCCATCATAACTTCACCCAGGAATGGTTGGCAATCCAGTACATATCTATCTATCTATCTATCTATCTATCTATCTATCTATCTATCTTGGAGTAACTGTTGGTATATTCCTAGCTAAGTACTTTCTTGTCCAAAATACTTATCTTAGAGGTCAATTTCACATATTATGGAAGCTGTGTTTTTCTATAATGAGCCATTGCGAGGCAGTTCAATGCATTTGTTTCACCACATTAACTTTGAAAGCATGTGGCAAGAGAACCATGGCTTTCTGCAATTTGTACTCATGGTAAACACATCGTGAAATTAATGTGTAGCTGCTTCACATGTTTTAGAGATCATTGTCAAAACATGCAGTAAACATGTAATTAATTCACTAGTTCAGTAGTTGGAAATTGCCTTCTAATCAGACATCAGCTATCACAGAAACAGAGGAAATGCATCACAAAATGGACAAAATATGGCACACACCTGCATCTGCTACTTCATATGTGCAAATTTAGAAAGAATGTGTTGTATGTATCCAATGGTGTTGATCAGTCGATTGACTTCTATCAGCAGGACTGGGTGGGAAGCAATTTCCAGCTATATCCCCTCCCCACTGCAGCCTCCTGTGTCCTCCTAAATCTCCTCTAGGGGGTTCTCCTAACACTCTGGGGTAGATCTGGAAGTTTGGGGGAGGGAGGGAATCATGAAAAATTGCTTCTCTCTTCATTCCACTGAGCACAACCTTATAGTCAGCTGATGGACCAGACAGCCCTGCAAGTAGAGGACTCTTCTCTATTAAGTAGGGAAGGGTCGTGACTACAGCACATGCTTAGCATGCCAAAGGTTCCAGGTTCAATCTTCAGTATGTCCTGATAGGGCTGGGAGACACCCCCTGTCTGAAATCTAGGATTGCAGCTGCCAGTTAGTGTAGACCAGGGTTGGGGAATGTGTGGCCATCTAGATGTTGTGGGACTAGAGCTCCCATCATCCTTGATCATTGTTTATGCTGATTAAGGTTTCAACCACTTTGTGCTTCTTACAGGAACCAGGATTTTTGACAGCTTTTGAGTACAGTGAGAAACGTAGGATGGTGTTCCATATCACCACTGGAAGTCAAGAATTTGAGTTAGTAAACAGCCAACACTGCTTTTTATTTAACTCAGTATTTCAAGAAGCTTTCATTGTTGCTGCTTGTTTTGTTGTTTGTTTGTTTGCTAACAAGTTCTATATCCAGACCCAATTTAATAGCTAACAGTGTCACACTATGCATGCTGCTCTGAAACAAGTCCTGTTAAATTCAATGGACCTTACTCCCAGGCAAGTGTGTGTATAGGATTGAAGCCTAATGATGCCAGGGCCATTATCCTGTCTTCTCCCAACTTAAGGTCCCAGGGAAGTCCAAGCTGATGTCCTGACACTCCTTATAGGACAGAGGATGCAATCCCAAGAGCAGGGTCAAGACAAAGGAAGTCCAGTCAAGTAATTGAGTCAAAACTGACAATTCAGTAAGGGTAGGCTAGGGATGGGAAACCTGTGTCCCTCTAGCTGTTGTTGGACCACAGTTCCCATCAGCAGGAAAGTTGGTTCCCATGAGCAGGAAAGTTGTTGTTGTATTCTAGCAACATCGGGAGGATTGCACATTCTGTAAATCTGGAGCAGTTGTCAAAACCTAACCAGGGAGGCAGGAAACACAAGGCAGCTTTTCATCCCCTGGAGAATTCAGAGTACCCAGTGGTGGCTAGGGAGAGCTGTTGCCTCAGTAGTATGCGGAAGCCTTCTGAGTCTTCTGACTGAACTGCCTATCAGCACTGTGAAGAGCTGTCTGTTCTTTTGAAAGGCCATTGCCCTTTTCTGTAAGCAGTACCTCCTACAGCACAAGAGATGACTTGGACAGGTGTCCATATTCTTGGCATGGTAGTGGGGGTGGAGGAGCAATGGATCCCCAAGTGATGTGCTCTTTCCCAGATGAATGAAGTCAAATAACAGGACAAGCCATGTTGTTTACTCCTCATACTTTAAGAAAGAAAGAGCAGTTGGCAACTATATTATTAGGCAAAATGGGTGGCAATTAGTAGATAGGAGAAAATATGTACAAACCACATTTAGAGCACAAACTTCCTTTTTTAAAAAAATATATACGGTAGTGTACAAATAAGTGGCCTAAAGATCAATATATGGTAGAAGGTTAGAGTCCAACAGTTTGGCAGGTTTAAGCTCATTTATTTCAATGAACAAGTGTAGCAAACTCCATGTTGGAATGTGGGCAAAATATTTAAATATCAGAAACTTTATGAACCAATTATTTATATCTTCCTCTTCTACTGCTTCTTCAGAACAAGCAAGTATATTAAGCCAACTTCAAACCATAGCTTAATATTGTGGCTTGTTCTGAAGATTTTAATTATAGCTTCCTGATTCAGATGAAATGGGAAACAATGGAAGATTTTCTGGTTTATTTGCCAGTTTTTGCAAAGGGGCTGCATCTATGGCCAACAGGCTTGTCCATATCTTGTTTTAATGACTGTACAAATGTTGTCATTTGATGTCACAACAGTAACCCTATAGTGTATATTCGAGATCTAAAAGAATAGCAATTCCCTGTAAGCTAGAAGCCAGCTAATAGCAACCCATGTTGTCCCTACAGGCTGTGAAAATCACATGCAGGGTCTTTCAACATGGGCACACTTTCCTTAGAGCAAAAAGTTTATTTCATATTGCTTTCTTGGCTTTGTGACTTGTTTTGCATAACTTCTTCCCCTTATCTGCACTTCCAGTAAACTCTTGGGTGGTGGAATTGAAAGCATGGCAATTACTGAAGCCTTTGGGGGTGAGTGAAAGTATATCATGGAACATGTTCGCTTCCCTAAGCTATTACAAATGCGTGTTTGGGTGATACGATACTCTAGCTTGTTTGTAGAAATATTTGGGGGCATACCCCTATTTTTGTAGTGCATGTATTTGCTGGGGATGTCTGCCATTAGTGTTTTTGGTGGGGCCATGTAAATGAGTAAAAAAGGTGAATGGGTAATTTAAAAGAAATATTTCTTTCAAGATCAGTTTAAGTTATGCCCTAAATTTCTTAAACTTAATCCAGCTTTGTGCAGTGTTCAGACAAACTTGCTAAACATTAGCTGATGCATGGGGAGTTCAATTCTACTTTTTGCAGAAAGCAGCCCAAATAATGTGTGTGTGTGTGTGTGTGTGTGTGTGTGTGTGTTTGGGGCAGGTGGGGGGGGAATACTGACTATATTGTTTCATATGACTAGCAAATTTAATTCTTTATATTTTTAATTAGAATTCCGAACCGGCAAAACTCAGCTTTCCCACACTCTTTGTGGTATGTATATGACACCCATCCTGAGAACTGTATGTTCTGTTTCCAAAAACTTGTAATTTGCTTTTAAAATAATAATTAATATAAATATTTCTGCATCAAGGTTAATCTATTTTAAGGATGAAGGCCTGAAAGTCTATTAGTTTTACAAGTGAAAAAAACTGCCACTAATTATGATTACTATTTTAATGTTATTTATAATTTCCAGATCTAACTTAACTTAGGGTACAATCCACCCCTCCAATGTTGTTGCCTGGGAGAGGTTAGGATGGTGTATATTCACCTCCCTGCCAAAGGAAAGGAGTGCTGCTGAGATGGGGAGGAATGTGTCACAGCTGAGGCTTCTGGTATGCCCAAGCAGGCAGGAGGCTACTACCAACAGAGTTGGGGTAGAGTGCTGGAGGCTTAGGACCTGCACGACTCAAGGGTCTGCAGATCTCCCAAGGGATCATATCACTGGGTTCCTCAGCTAGTACGGGGGGGACGGGAAGATGAAGAGAAAACAACACCCTCAATCTCGTTTCTCAACAGCTAGAACAAAATTGACCTTTTCCCAGTTTTCTAGGCTCTCTGCTTCAGCTAATGGAGGATAGGGTTGCCATATTTCAAGAAGTAAAAGCCAAGACACCCCAAAAGTTGTTGAGTTTTTTTTACACAAGACCCAGGACAAAGCACCAGGAATGTCCAGGAAAATCTGGATGTATGGCAGCCCTAACGGCGGAGTCATTAACCAGTGAACTCTGCTATGCTCTATGGAAAGGGAAGTTCCTCCACTTTCTTGGAACTTCCTTCCACGTTGTGTGCTTTTGATCATGCCTTTGGGGGCTTGTCAAGAACAGAAATTACTTGGGATACTTCTAAGTAGTCTTGAGGATTTACACTGGCCTTCCTATAAAGCTGCTAGTGATTATCAATAATGAAAAATTCCAGGTATTAAAATGGCATGTAGTAGGGCTTAAATTTGTTCACTCCTTTTTATAGTAACAGCCCAGCTTCCTGGAACGGATGGCTATACTGGTGGGAAGATTATTTTCATTGACACAGAAAACACCTTGTATCCTTTCTTTTGAGATATTACAGCTTTAACAGAATAAATTGGAAGATTTTCCTAATGGTGACAATAAAAAAAAATGTTTTGTGGTGTTAAGAAGATTTGAAGAGCCATTTATATGAAACTTGAGTTTTATGGGTGGGTGTATAAAGAATACCATTCATTTATTTAACTGTAGTGCATGAAGAACTGCTGAGAAGAATTTTTGCTTGTATGGGAATTCAGCTACCACATCTCAGAAACTGGATTAGAAACTAGATACCTTAACTAGGAAACACCCCAGCCGTCCAGACCGTCTTCGTGATATTGCTGATCGCTTCAATGCAGACCATGATGCAGTTCTTGACAATGTATTATATGCACGGGCATATACAAGTAAGATTCCAACTGAAGATTGCATGGAAATCCTCCCCACTTTAAGATTAAACAATTCTCAGTACCAAGGGGCCATCAGGAATATTATGAATTACCATTTTAAAATATGAACTCTGTATTTTTGTTGTTGTGGTCCTTATGCAATCCTGTAGTGTATATGATTATTTTACCTAATTTACATTGGGTAAAAGTAGGTTTCAGCAGAACAAATTTAAGTCTGGGGTATAAAGCTTACCTGCACTGGGATGAGCCCACAGGGCTTATCCACATGTACCTTTCCTGTGTTTTCCATGCACAGTCCATGCTTTAAGGTCTGTGGTCCAAGTAAATTTTATTTTTATTTTATTTATTTTTTGCTCTGGAGCTCTCCCTGCAAAAACCTGTGCTTTACTGCTGATTCAGAGCAAACAGCAATTATAACAAGTGGTATAATTATATGCTCCCTTAGCACCTACCAAGCTCTGGATAGTTACCTTTGCCTAAAGCAGAAAAAGTAGCAGTTACCTCAAGAAAAAATAATGCAGAAGACAGTCCACAGTAGCATTGCTCAAAGTCAACTAAAGCTGTAAATGTGAGGTTGATTTCCACTGCTTCTTCAACAAACAATTGTGTGAAAAGCTATTTTTGGATGTGCAAAAGCCACTTCAAGTGCTTCAGTATAGCATAATATTTTTAAAAATCTTAAACGTTTTGTGGATGGAACCTTATCCATAATATTATTACATGAGATGAAAGATACAATATATTTTTGTTGGTGGAAAACTATGCTTCTGCCAAATCCTCTGGAACACAAGTTTCTACTTTCTAAGCAAGCTACTTACTTCTTCCCCCCTTTCATATTGGTTTCTAACTGCTTTTCCTGTTTTTATCATTCTTCCATGGTGCTTCAAGGTGAACATCAGATGGAATTGCTTGATTATGTTGCTGCCAAATTCCACGAGGAGCCAGGAATTTTCAAACTATTGGTATAATTCATATGATTATGTTAGTGATCTGCTCTGCTGTCCTTATTTTTATTATGTACTTTGTGGTTTTTATATTATAATTTTATGTTGTGAACCACCCCAAGATCTATGAGTATAGGGTGGTATACAAATTCAATAAATAAATAATTATAAATAATAAGCTACATCCCTATATCCACTAACATAAACCACACTGAACTCCTTATGTTACATTTATACTAAAATGTATACCCAATTCCCCCCTCCCAAAGGAGTAGCTCAAAGCAGCTAACATGTAAAACACAGAAAAATAAAAATAGAAGTCCCATAATTTAAAATCAATTGCTGTACTATAAAAGAACACAACTTAACAGCTCCAAAAAAACAACCCCACAGAAAACCCAGCATGGGACCCAATGGGACTCAATTCTGAGTAGACATGTATAAGATTGTGCTGTTCATTTCTATATCTTGAATATTTTCCAAGTAAATACTTCTCCTTTCACATCCTCTCCCTCTTTACTATTTCTTTGCAGGTAATTGATTCCATTATGGCGCTATTCCGCGTGGACTTCAGTGGTCGTGGGGAACTGGCTGAAAGGCAACAGAAGCTTGCTCAGATGCTGTCAAGGCTTCAAAAAATATCAGAAGGTAGGAGAAGCATGTAAGGCAGAATACCATGCTTTTAGATGACTGAAAAATAAGTGTTGGGCTACTATTATCTTTTCTTCTTCTTCTATAAGAACCAGCATTTTCACCAAATAATGTACTGCCAGGAGAGCAAGTATAGTGCAGTAGATAAGTGTCAGGTTTGGTTGTGGGAAATGTATTTCACACCTCCACTCCACCATAAAATGTAACAAAAATGTACCAGTTGTTTAAAACACAGTTAATATTTTTCAATATTATGGAAACTTTAATAAGAATAATTCATCATTTAATACTAGAAATACTTAAAAGCATTCTGGCAGGAAACATAATGAATTTTCTCTTTATATTTATCATCTTCCCTTGGACCTTGTTTTCACTGCAGAATATAACGTGGCTGTGTTTGTAACTAACCAGATGACTGCTGACCCGGGAGCAACAATGACGTAAGCAATTTATTTGCAATTTACTGCGATTTTTCATAAACTACAGAAATAGGAAGTAACATAGTATGGGGAAAGGGCTAGGATAGGTGGGATAGTCTATGAAAAATGTTAAACTGGTTTTTCTGTATTCTCACTTCTTTGAGAATACACTGCAATTATGGGTAAAGAAGGACCAGTTAGCCATTGGTGCAACTCATGCCCCTCTCCATCAACATCAGTCTCAGAATGTGGCCCCTTAAAAATCCACATTTCCAGAATATGCCAGTTGAAGTTCATAAGGAGAAGGATGGAGATCACTAGAGTTTCCCTTTTAGATATAAATAGTTCTGGGGAGCTTCTCACCTGTCAGTACTTTTCAGCTTGGAAACCTGCCATGGTGTTAAGTGTCTTTGTATTAAAAATCTATATATGTATTTAGCATCAGCTGAGTAGGGATGGTTCTGACAATGCCTAAAGACAGTGGAGGAACATGGGGAGTAATTTCCTTCATAGCCCCTTGTGTTTCTTGGAACACTATGGGGTTATCCACATTTAACTTTTGCCCTATGCTTTCTAGGCACAGGTCCACACTTTCCCAGTCCGTGTCTGAGCTCTCTCACCTGCCCCCCCCAGAAAAACTGATCTTTACCACTGAATCAGAGCAAACAGCAATTTGGGCTTCCCACAGATTGCCGTTTGCTCTGATTCAGCAATAAAGAGTGGGTTTTCATGGGGAAAGCACAGGGACAAAAAAAACCCCTCAAAAAAAACCACACTCAGACATAGAACGGGAAAGCCTGGACCTGTGCCAAGAAATGTGGAGCAAAGGTAAGTGTGGATGAGCCCTGCCACTTACCTTTGCTTCATGTTTTTTTGTCGGAGTGCTTTTTCCCCTCTCTGCTTAGGGCTGTCATTTGTGGGCAAGCTCTAAGCAATTTCTAGGTAGCATTCAAGGACCACATTCAAGGTTATAGTAGCAGAGAAAATATAGAAATTAAACAAAATAACATCCACAGCTATTCTTTACTATAATTATCCTTATGTGTTTATAACCAGAAGTGATGTACCTTTTATGTATCCCTTAAAAATTCCCTATCTGAAGCAGCTGGTGATCATCACTCTGCCATGTATGGAAGGCATGTTATCCATCACAATTATTCTAGGGTTGCCATACGTCCAGAATTTCCCAGACATAGTGATTTTCCTTAACACTTCATTTTGCATTTCAACTAAAATCAAATGAAATCAAATCTTAACAACTTTTGTGTCTGGATTTCTACTTTTTGAAATATGGCAACCCTAAATTATCCTATAACTCTCATCCAATCATTCTCTTTTTGTTTGTTTGTTTTAGGTTTCAGGCTGATCCCAAAAAGCCCATTGGGGGCCACATCCTCGCTCATGCTTCTACAACTAGGATTAGTTTGCGTAAAGGAAGAGGAGAGTTGCGTATTGCCAAGATATATGATAGGTAATATAGAAGTTGTGTGGTACAGTGCATGCTATAGTTCCAATGACTTATTATGGTTTATTTGGCTTCGAGTTAACTTTGTTTCTGAATGGATGTACCGGTATATAAAAAGGGAAGTGTGAATGAGGAGGCATTCTATTTTGAAATTAAGATTCAGGTTCCAAATAAGAAGGGAAACTGCCCTTACTAATCTGAACTAAACTTCTCTCCTCCTTGGCACCTTCAAAAGAACCAAATGTGTAATTAACAGTTCTTGCTAATTAGCCTTGGCCTATGGGTGTCTGTTTGATATTAAGGAGGATGGTAACCAAGTCTGAGTATTTATATTGATTCAGTTATGATGATTTGAGTCAAAATTCAAATAAATCTGAAAAAATATGCTTGAAAACCATGTATGATCAAGGCTATTGCTTCCACCATGTAAAAAAAAGAAATCAATTCAATGAGAAAGTCAAAACAAATTTTACCCAAACCCCCATAAAAGTAATGTATGCACTGGATCCCCCCCCCTTCTACATATCAATGCCTCCATGTAGAGTTATTAAAAATGGACTCAAATTCTGTGTTTTCTCAGCCCAGAAATGCCTGAGAATGAAGCCACATTTGCAATAACTGCCGGAGGAATTGGAGATGCTAAAGAATAGGCAGAACCTTGGTGGTGAACAAAGGAAGGCACACCCACAAGCTAAATCGTGTCTAAAGTTAGTTAATTCCTGGTTACTTTTGTTCCAAATCCAGAGTGTTTTAATTTCTAAACACTTGTTGACATTATCACTGGGAATGTTGTGATCTTTTGGAATTGTAGAGCAGGTTGGCTCTATTAAGTTGGTAAACTGGTCACGGTCAACCTCTGAAACCTGTATGGCTGAGCTTTTTGCATGCCGACACAGATTTTGTGCAAGGTGGCAACTGGCTTGCTACAACTTATGTGTCAATACAAAGCAATTTCAATAGGCTGAGAGGCACCCAGTGGGTATGAGAATTAAGGCTTACAAAATGCTTAGAAATTATTTTAAAGAGATGTTGTTAATTGTTTGTTGCCCTTTTTAAAACGGATGTTTCTGTCGCAAAAAAACACACATTCCACCTCAAGGACATAACACCCAACACTGTTTACACTGCCAAGGGCTGCCTACCTATGTCCTTGAAGTCTTACAATATTTGCATGTAGAATGGAACATAATAGCATGGAATGCCACTGAGAATAAAATAGTATTTATTAACTGCCCAGCATTTTAAAAAGTATGCTTGTCACTGGAGCCTCCAGATAAAGCACAAGCTGATGTATAGAAAAATGGAAATGGTTTCTGCTAGAGGAATAGTAGAATTGTTTATAAAGTTGTTTTTATGAGTCTTGACAGCTCTATTTAACTGAAACGAAATTGTTCATGCTTGCATTTTTAATAAAATGTAGCAGTTGCTAGCTTTTTCATCCGTGAAATGCATTAAACTACTTTTTCCCCATTTGTTATGTGGGTAACAAGTGGAAGCTGCCTCCCAATAAGTTTATTCTAATTGTCTTATTCTTTCTATGTAATCTGTGCCACTGACAGCATATGTGTCAAGGAATTCTCTGCATCCAGCAATGCCAAACATAATCAAAAGGTGATGTTGAACATCTCTGAACACAAAGGGATAGCATTACATTTTTGAACCTGAGGTTTGTGGGCTTCCCACCTTTCTTCTCTTCCTCGGGCTCAATCACGATGAGATCAGAAGCATTCACTTCCTTTCAAAACTACCGTATTTTTCGCTCTATAAGACGCACCAGACCACAAGATGCACCTAGTTTTTGGAGGAGGAAAACAAGAAAAAAAATATTCTGAATCTCAGAAGCCAGAACAGCAAGAGGGATCGCTGCACAGTGAAAGAAGCAATCCCTCTTGCTGTTCTGGCTTCTGGGATAGCTGCGCAGCATGCATTCGCTCTATAAGACGCACACACATTTCCCCTTACTTTTTAGGAGGGAAAAAGTGAGTCTTATAGAGCAAAAAATACGGTAACTGCAATTTGTTAATTCATGCAAACTGCCCGTGGTTTATCCACACAAGCCAAGATCAAACCATGGTTTCTGATGCTGCCTCATTCAGATAAATCAAGATTTAGCACCCTGTACAGTACTGCTTTTAACTCAGGGATTTGGGCCTAGGACACATGCAGTAATTATAAAGCAGACAATACCTTGAGTAGGTTCAGTGTTTATGCTGGCACCAGACAACGGCAACTTGTTCTCACAACCCTGAAAATATGGAAGCCGACAAACAGGTCATGAATTTGATGGTACTGTACTCTCATGTTCTCCAACAACTTGCATTCAGAGGAATGCTGCCTGATAGTGGAGATGTCCATCATAACTAGTAGCCACTGACAGCCAATGTGTCTAATCCTCTTTTCAAGCTAAATTGGTGACTGTAGCTATATCTTGTATCGGGAAGTTTCTAATGTTTGACGTTTTATTATGTTTTAATATGTGCTGGAAGCCGCCCAGAGTGGGTGGGGTATAAATAATAAAATTATTATTATAACTATTCTTATGACATCTAGCTATCTCCTTTGAGAACAGAATGCTACACTAGTGGACATTTTGTCTGATTCTGCAGACCATTTTGAAATGTTCTTGTAACCTGCTCTTTTAGACACAAAGGCTCCCAAGGTGCTTACAAAAGTTCCTGGTCTCAAGCTTATCACCCAAGTAAACGATTTCTGCGGTTTCGCTGTACTTCGGTTGCTTACAAGTTTATAAACTGCTTCACAGCCCTGAGGAAAGCCCTCAAAGTGGTGCACAAGCCAAAAAAAAAAAAAAAAAGTAAATACTAATTCCAATAACAAAACAAATCTGAAGCCCTGGGTTAAGGCCCGCCTGCAACCCCGGCAATCCCGTACTGCTCGTGTACATTGGCGTGGCGAGGAGTGTAGTAATAGGTTCCTAGCAGCGAAGCGAACTGAAATTTCAGAGAGCAATCCGCGTCTTGGAGCATTTAGGAGCGAAAGTTGCTGTCAAAACCGGATCCGTGTTGCGGCATACGAAGTTCATTGTCTCACAAGCACAGTTCGCTTCCTCTGTATAGCCGGTAGGCGATATTCTCTGAAGCCTACACGTTACAGAGTGTGCGTAGCTCTGCTATATCCCAGTAGTTTCTACGAAAGATGGGTACGTAGCTTCCTCACATACAGTCCCGCAACGTAGCAGCACTGGCACCAGTTACGTAAATTACGGAGGCAGTTTTATATTACCTCTATTAGAGCTTTCTTTAGGCTCGTAGGACAGGATCTTTGCGCAGATGACTTTCAAAAATGGGCAGAAGTTGGCTCCCCGACTCAAGAAGCTAAACGAATGCAGGCTACGCCTACGTACTTTCTGTACCGCGCACGGTAGCAGGATCCTTTTGAACCAGCCCTTTACAACAGGACCGACGTTGCGTTTTTCGAGAATAAGCGCAGGCGCCCGTTCCCTCTCTGTTCCACCCGGCTATTCAGCGCCGTAGTCTACGCAACAGTCGGCCAGGAGCGACAACGTAAGAGGCGGCAAGCTAGGTTGGCGGCGGCCATTTTGTGTCGGGAGGTCGGAGAAGAAAGACGGCGTTGTCTTTCGCGCCGAGCGGTTCCTGCTTCCATTCGGCCTGCCTTGGAGCCTGCGGGAATCGAGCCCTAGCGGGAGAAAGAAGGGATATAGCAGGACAATAACAACCGCGCTCGGGTCTTCTCAGCGCCGGGACTCCGGTCGTCGCTTTGCTCGCCCACGGAGCCTGGCGCCAGAGGACTCCTTCGGCCTGTGAGGATGCGAGGCTTTGGAGACCGAGGCCGAGACCGCGACCGCGGCGGGTAAGGAAGGCCTGGGCGGGGAAGGGAGCGGGGCGGCCTCCTTCGGGGAACCCGAGTCTACTGGGCTTCGCGACAGGCAGACAGCAAGCCGCCAGGAGCCGCTTCCCTGTGGCGGTGCTCCTGCGCTGGGAAATGTCCCTTCCCTGCTGGGCCTCTGCCTGCCTCGTCGCTGCCGCACAGGAGACCCGCCAGGAGAGGAGAGAGGCCGGAGGGTCCTCGGCCCCTGCGGGTGGGGAAGCGAGCTAGAGGATTTCACGAACACGCTTCTTCGGGGAATAAGTTTATTTGATCTCGGGTGGTAATCCTGAGTAAACATAAGGGGCTACAGTTCGTTAAAAGCTGCTACATACATACATACATACGTGTGTGTGTGTGTTTTGTAGCAAAGCTTACTGGTTTTTCGCACAGCTGCACCTGTAATCCAACAGGTGAAGCTTTCTGCACCACCGCAACGCGGGGAGGAAAGCTTCACCTACTACTGGCTTCTCCCTTGCCAGGAATTAAAGGTTGCAATATGGTTGCTGAATGTAACTAAGCGGATGGAAAATGGCGTTGCAATATGGAGTCCAAGGTGGGGACAGGGAGGTGCTTAATGTGGGCCCATGAGGGGTGGGGATCTGGGGTAGGAAATGCGAGGCCTTAGGAGGCGGGAACTAGAGGCTCCCTGGACAAAGTTCGTTTGTGTTCCTCTTCTCTTCCTTTAACTGATCGGAGGGCAGCAGGCCTCTGAACACATCTTGCACCGGTCCCAACTCCCGCAGATTTTATACTTGTTGATCACTTTATTTGAGCCCCAGCATTGCGCTCCTCCTCTTCCTCTGGGTTAAGGTGGGACACGGTATTTCATCTGACTGTCGGTGTCACTTTTACAGTGGTAGTAAAGTATTGTAAATTCTAAAGTACAGCTGCAGAGACATAGTGCAATCGTGAATTTGTTAAAATCTGGCAGGGTGCTCTATAATACTATGATTGCAACCTAAGCTCATTTTAGCTCAGTTGTGAGAATTTCCCTGTGACTGTATAATGCTGTTCAGTGCCTTGTCGTGTTCTTACTTGGGATATTTAAGCGCAAGCCTAATTATAGAGTGCATAAACAGTTAGATAGCATATATCATTATCAGTATCATTTTCTTATGTTGTTACTTGAGGAGCATATGCCGTGGTCCCAAGCACATTTACTTGTTATAAGCCCTGTTCAAATCAAGGAGACAACTTGCAAGTAAATATGCTTTGGATCAGCATTCAGTTTGAAAGAATTGGGATCAGCTGACACAGCTTGTGGTGATACTGAAAATGATAACAACCCCAGGTGTTGCTTCTCCAACCATTGTAAACACTAATGTGGTAGAAGCATTGGTGCTGCTGTCACTGTGCTGCCAATACCGATATTGCTAGTCTGATTGAACTGCATGGGGATTTGCACAATTTTACCACAGTTTATAGATGTGTGACTTGCTGATTCAGTGTCACTGATACTGAGGTTCCAAACACCTCTGCCTGGAAGCACCCTGGCTTTGCAATCCTAATCCTGTTTACTCGGAAGTAAGGCCCACTACGTTAAATAGGACTTCCCAGTAAATGAGAAAATCTGGAATAAAGTAATTTTTGAGCGTTCCATTGCTCATACAGCTGATAAGCTAGCTTTAGGCAGCCTACAGCACAGTCCATATGTGCTTAAAAGTAAGATTTGTTCAGTTAGATTTACTCCCATATAAGTATTGGTTGCAAACCTTTGCACACTTTGGAGTAAACTTCCCTGAACTCGCTAGGACTAGTTACAGATAGGTAGCCGTGTTGGTCTGCCATAGTCAAAACAAAAAAAATTCCTTCCAGTAGCACCTTAAAGACCAACTAAGTTAGTTCTTGGTATGAGCTTTCGTGTGCATGCACACTTGGTATCTGAAGAAGTGTGCATGCACACGAAAGCTCATACCAAGAACTAACTTAGTTGGTCTTTAAGGTGCTACTGGAAGGAATTTTTTTTGTTTTCGCTAGGACTAGTTTATGTGTAAATGTGCTTAGAGTTGCACTGTTAGTGTCATAAATGAACTGTTGTAGTTAAAACTGTATCCTAGTACATATGCATGCTTCCCATAGCTTGTTGCTAAATTGTGCATAAAATGGTTTGATTATAAAGTTACCTTGTTTTTCATTTTGTTTTCATGCGTGGAATTTGATATTTCAAAGTTATGCTCTGTTTTGTTAGAAAGTAAAGTTAAAAAAACTTGCAAAAATATTTAAAGGTATGTTTAGAATTTTTCAGTGTTTGCTGATAATACTTTCTAAAACATTTAGATTAAAGTAATTGCTTGGAATATTTTTTGCTGCTTTCCTGCAACAGTAAACAAAAAGACAATCCCTGGAATAAACATTTTCTCAATTCTTGCTGTCTTCAGTATTTCCAGAAGCTGAACTGTTGTTGTTATGTTATTGATAAGCAACAATACTTCTATTGCCCCAAGGTCTCATTTTGTTTATTTGTTGGTTAAGGATATAGTATAGCAAATAATCAGAGGGGGGGAATGTTGCTTTAATATAACTTCACTGAGATTCAGATTACAGGGAACCAGGCAGAGGGCCTTCTCGGTAGTGGCATCAGTAAGATGAAATAGGTGACACTTTTCCCCATTACAGAAATGTTTTCTTAGCTTAATAATAAAGACGCAAGCATATGTTTGTCAAATACTTTGAAAAATAACTTCAACTGGAATCCCCCTCCTCTCCAGGTTTGGCGGTCCACTTCCTCCTAAAAAATTTGGAAACCCGGGTGAACGTCTCCGTAAGAAGAAATGGGACTTGAATGAATTGCCTAAGTTTGAAAAAAATTTCTATGCTGAACACCCTGAAGTGGCCAGACTGACTCCAGTAAGTTTCATTTGTTCTTCCTTTTGTGCTTGGTATACTTGGAAACTTTCCCAGCTTTAATGCTTCCCATATAGAGTGCTAACGCAGATATGAAAATAACTAGAATTATTTCTGTCAATAGCTTTGTCAGCCTGCACATTGCAGTGGTAATCTTTTCATTCACTTACTGCAATTTATAAAGTTACTTCTAATCTATCTTTTCTGTGATTACACAAGGTTTGTAAAAAAGCCTACAAAAATATTTTAAGCTACTTGCCCAGACATACTTAAGTTAGTAATTTGTAGCATATCAAATTGCCTAAATGGTAGCGAGAACAAACATCTATTTTATAATATCTGCCCTTCGTAATTACCTGGGTGCCAGTTTTGCCTATGCAAGTCTAACCTTAAAACTGTGGCCTGGATGTTTTTTGAGTTGCAGGGTATTTTGTTAAAAAGGAACTTCTGGAATAAATTTGGTTTCAAGTGTTAAGTGCATATCAATTTTTCTGGCTTGTTTCAATCCAAGCACAGAAGACTGTTGTGCTCCAATCTTTGTAGGCCCTGAAGACTTAGTTATTAAAGGTCAGTTTTACATAGGCAGTGCCCTTTTGGGTAGGAAACCTTTTTCTTCTTTACTTGTTCTCTGTCCGATGCTGGTTCTGTGGAATTACAGTTATGTATTATGAATTGTATGTGCTCAAATTGACTATTTTTTGTTGATACTGTGTATGTCTTAATTTTTAATATGCAAGTCACCTTGGAAGAAAATCACTTCTTCCAGGAAATGTTCTGAAATTAAGTTTCTCAAGTGCTCGTTGAAATTGTTCACAACTTCAAGTTAACCAGTATACAAATAAAGCATTTTAAAGGAAACTATCAATCAGATGCAAAGCAAGTGGGGAAAATAACTTGCTAGATTCTTTATCTAACCTAAATTGAAATATTGATGCAGATGAGGAGTTATATGTGACTTACTAGTGTTTCATTTTTGGATTAGTAGCATATTGAACATCTTGCAGTTTGGGCAAAGAATTCACCTGAGAAAACTTGGTTGCTATAAGACTCTGGATGGTGAATTCAGTGGGATTTGCTTCCTGATAAATTTATTCAGGAATGCAGCTCTA